GCATCTCAATACTGATGTTCCCATCTCTTCCAAACTCGGCGGCCTCAATCACTTCTCAAAGCAGGCAATATCCTTGCAAATGCAGACGGCCCTAGACAATATGAGATACTTGTTTGCACATAAATTCGTTTTTAAAAGCCACAATCTTAAAATAAACCCGACATTCGTAGGCACCGTCTTATTCTCCCTCAGGGGGCCTCAAGTGAATATTCACCGAGCGAGAGGGCTTTCTCTCTCTATTCCCTCATCCCTCTTTCTCTTTCCTTCTCTCTCTTTCTCCCTCCATCTCGCTTTCTCTGTCTTTTCTCCCTTGTGATGTTCGCTCTTGGCTTGACATTTCAATACGACTGGTCTACTGTGCCCGAGTCCCCGATCGATTTCAAAGCAAAGTTGGAGAAAACAAATACATCTATTCTCAAATCAGGTTCCATTGATTTCTGGGAATTCTTTTATTTTCTTTCACTTTCAGAGCTAAAATTCTCATGTTTAATATTTAGTGCAAATGTCGATCTTTAGAATTACAAAACGTGACATCAACAAGAGTTTCGAAACTCAATAATATGTCTCTCAGTCTTTATAATTTCATTAACGTCGCCTTTACGCTGTTTTTGTTCCTCTTTTTCAAACAAGAAATAATATATTGATTTATATTGCCAAAACTTATTTGACATTTAACCCATTTTTCAAAACGAAAAGAACGCCAACAGAACAGACATCAAACGCTGATTTAAGTGCGAGTAGATTCCAACTAGCTATACACTATCCACGCCACCATAATGCATCTCATTTGTATAACGAGGCAATTGGGTGCCATAAACCTCTAGGCATTGATCAGGATTTAATGACTCCTTTTGATTAGAAGGACATTTTGATATGAATGATAGATAAGTCGAATCCACACGCTGGTAATGAAAGTAGGTGGACTGGTTTGATGAGAAGATAAATACAATACATGATGACGGGCCAATATACAGTCATAATTGCCAGTAATATCACAATGATCGTGATAATTAACCGTTCTTGAATAGCGCACATCATATTATATCATAATGTGATAATACAAGAACGGTCTATCATTGCGATTATCATTTCATTTATTAGGGCGACACGTTGAAAAGGGGTATATAGCAGGGTTACCATGGAAACACAAATTAAATGCAATATATCAGAGAAATGTGACAATGATTGGATGGATACAGAGGCTGATAATGGATTGGTGTGTTTTCCATACTGGGCATTACCTGGATATGTGTGGAATATTCAACCCTTTCACTCAGTTCAACCGTCTACAATTAAAAAAAAAATCATTGTAAATTTACTCTGCTCAGTATACTACTTTGCATACTCCATGTATGTGCCGATCTCTTATTATACAGCAGTTTCGGATTTTTAACGTTTATTTTGATATTGTTAATTAGTAAAATATGAAATCCTTGTCAGCTAATCAGTTCCCACTGCATTTAAAAAGTTCAATATTTTTCCAAAAAGACACGGGGGCAGAGTGAGTGATACATGTGCGCTTAGAAACACCTGTATTAAGCGCCTAATAAATGTTATATATTATTATATACAGATATATAAAAACAAAAATATAACCAAATTTGGTAGATCCCCATTTAAAAGTTATTTAATGTGTGACCTTGAAATACATTTCATTTTAAAAAGCAATCAAAATTCTCTTTTATGATATCTTATTCATTATACGTACCTTTATATAATATAAACAGTTAGAGAGAGAGAGAGAGAGAGAGAGAGAGAGAGAGAGAGAGGAAGGAGAAGAAGAAGAACAACAGCAGCAACAACATCAACAACAACAACAACAACACTTAACAAAGTAGAGAGGAACATAAATAGATTGACACATATTATACAGACACAGAGCCAAAGACAGAGAGAGTGGTGAAAAAGTATAGTGGAAAACTAAGAATGAGATGCAGTTTATCATAGAAACCTATTGGTAACCATGGTAATTGCTACGCTCAAATTAGGGTCCAAGTTTACTTGTCGACGTGATCACATTTTCCCGATTAAAGAACAAAAAACATATAAGAGTTATAAGATAAAAATATAAAACTGTATCAACAAGATTATCTGTATATAACAACAACGAAGAATATGACAACGTGGATACGTTTTTTTCTACACCATGCATGTAATTTTTTGCCTTTCTTTACATGTACGTTGTAACAGAAATTAAGTGACCAAAACAGTCCACAAGGTTAAAGTATAATGACTTCATCTTTCTTCGCTTGTTGACGGTGATTGGTCAGAATGACTTAATTGGGTCCATTTTAATCAAGCGGCAGTGCATTGTATGTGATAACTATGGAACATGGTCATGATGATGATGGCGAACTTTCACCAAGGAAACAGCGAGGATCGTAGTGAGCGTAGGCTGAATGAAAATGCAAGGTTATCCTGACAAATGAAAGACTGATTAACCTTTTAAATGCAAGTTATGATGCATATCAATCTCTCTCATACAAAAAGCATGCTGTGTTGTGTATTTGGGTTACAATATGGATCAAATTTTGCCTTTGATAAGATGTAATTTTCTGTATTACCGTTTAAATTTGTGTTTTATACAATTTAACGAAAGAAGCCTAATCGATTTAAGAATAGACACAAGCATAACAAACATGACAAAGTGATGAAATACTGTCAAATAAAGTTTCATACTAGCAATGAAATATAAGATGTGGCTTCACTACCTTTTCTAACTAAATCAACCACTTATTCTTTCATCTGTTAACTTATTTGTTAGATTTTGTTTATACGTCATTGACTCTGCAGTACGAGGGAGAAACTTGAATTACTATGCTTTCTAGACCTGATCGTGTACAATTTCCCACAGCAGACATAAAAAGGGTTTTAGGGATGCAATTTAAGCGAACAATATATTCGGTAGCGATAATGCATTACCATGAGTAGGATAAAATCTTGATAACGACGCCTTTGCGTCTTACGACCCATTTGTCCTCGAACATCAAATAGACACATAACATTAAGCGCTTGTGCTTCCATATGTTACCCCAAAATTCTTTTCCCTCTCCCCATCTTTAATTTTTTTTTCTTGTTGGCCCCTTAGAGATCTATTCTAAGCAACATCCGTTAGCATATATTTGACCATGGGGAAGAAGGCATCGGGAGAAAATCAAAAGTATATAAGAAAGATGCGGTCGTCATGGTAACGGTGTCGAGAGGATGATGCAGACAGCATCTCTGGGTTGACGTCATGGTTACGCAAGTTGGTTGCTGAGAAGATGAGAATACGTGGGATTTGAGTCATTCCGCATCACTCCACACAACCCCTTCAAATCAGACTCATTTGGAACTTTATTACGCTCCTTAATTCCCCCTCATATTCCCCGATATGCGTAAATGTAACATGTCGCGATGGTATGTGCTTTGTTCGATCCTTTTGAACTCGTTTAGAGCGTACAATCCAAGGCAAAGGGTACTTGAAATGGTGTCTGAAAGGGTTTGGGAGAAGTTACCATATGTTTGGAATGATGGCTGTGTATATTATGCTCGATCGGTTATGTCGGCCCACACTTCCAATGCGTGCGCGGGCATCCTAACCTCAAACATTATTCGTTTGGAATTAGCGCGCATCTCAACACACTTCGATTGGTTTGCGTCATGTTATGTTGCTCTCACAACATGTCTACCTTGATCAGTGCAAAGCATGTTGATATTCTCAATACTAATGACGTCTGGTGAAAATGATGTTGATCGCACTGACGCGTTGCAAGGCTAAAATTTTGTCAAATCACAATAAGTTATTTAAAACAAATCAAGGCAGAGAGATTTGATCTACTAAATGTAACTATTTTGTTTATGTATGATACATTATGAAACATACATCAGGATAAAACAATTCATTCATATACAAAATGGAAAATAAGAAAACACTATAGCGCTGGCAGGATTGCCTGGCCGGGTATAGAAACAGCTAAATCAATAACCATGAATAAAGGTAATTATGTCGATGCAGTAAAAAAAATGAGTAAAATAGTTAGAATATTTGTCAACAATATGCACGAAGCTCTGACTAAATATCCCTTTAGATGTATTCATATATCGACAATTCTGAGGCCCTTTTCATTTCTGTTACAGTGGAAACTTTTGTTGTATTGTCGCATTAACAGGATTTCATGTGATCTGAATCAAAGGGTAATCTTGAAAGGAAACAACAAAAGGAATCAAATATTTATAAACAAGTTATCGCGAAGCGTAGAATGGGTCGTGTAAAGATGGTCAACTGTGTTTTTATTATTCCAAGAACAAACCCTTATCTTTTGATTATAATGATGAACGACATGATTAGCTAGTGTTGATGCTCACTCTCTCATTTGTCTGAGCCTAGTCAACAATTAAATATTAATGGAAACTTCATCTATCTATCTATTAGGATGAAAACCTAGCGAAATAATGAGAAATAAGTAATGTGGAGGAACTGCCATATGCTAATGCTTGGAACTGCAGATAGCGTTGAACTGTTTTTTCTCCTTTGCTGAGTCTAGTATTATTATTAGCAAAAGTACCAGGTCTTTGAGGTTTAAAGCGAAATTATTTTTTAAAAGCATTCCTGTATATGGGTTGATGATTATGTTGATAGTGGACTTTTGTTTTCTACTTCACTGTACGCAGACGAAGAAATGAATTTCGACCAGCTTTATGTTTTAATTGGGCATTGGCGTTTAGTTAGACAAGTTAAAGGTACAATTCAACTTTTGACGTAAAAATATGATGATATTTATTATCTTAAACATCATTCAGCACGAATAGAATTATAATTTTATTGAAAAGATATTCCTTCTTACTGAACGATGATCATTTTAATCACGTCTTCAGGGGTGATTTTTATCACAATGTAAACCACGTCAATACACAATTGACTATCTTCCATGGCCAAGTCAAGTATTTAAATCTTTAGACTTGTATTTACAATATTACTTTATCTTTTTCCCCTTCCGTTTATCATTATTTTCTACAGTCTCGAAGGCGGCTATCGTGGGTGTATGTGCGGCCATCATGACCACCCTGGCCGTCGTGGTCGTCACAGCATGTCGGTGTATGCGTAGAAAGCCAGGTCGACCTTCCTTCCTGCTAACTCGAGACGTCGAGAAGGCTCAGCGCACTTTCTATACCCGTCCCACCGCCAAGCCCATCAGTAGCCCCGAGTTGTCTTCACCCGAGACCGGTCCATCCCGTCACATCCCTCCCACGGGGAAGGGGTCGCCGCACCTCACTCCGACCAAGTGGGGGTCGTCGGGGTTCCCGTCTCCGACCCAGGGGGAGAAACGCCCTCCCATTGGCACCTTCATGGGGTCGACAGGTAGGTTTATTCACCTCAGTCCAGGGATACCGTGTGCTTATCCGACGGGGGGGGGGGGGGGGGGGGGGGTTCTCAGAAGATCAACAACAAACAAACAGAAACAAAGTGTTATTAGGGACTAGATTCTGAAGAAGAAAAAAAAAATCGTCATTTTTTAAAGAGATAGGCCTAAGTGATGATATATCAGCGCACAAGTCATGCGCCCTCTCTATGATCGTAGCACTGTTTTTTCTCTATCTCTGACTCTCTCTCTCTCTCTCTCTCTCTCGTTCTCCGACTTATCTCGCCCTTCTTCTCATCTCTCTCTCTCTCTCTCTCTCTCTGTCTCTCCCGCTTTTTCACTCTTATTATCACTATCTCCCTCCCCTCTCTGCCATCTCCTTTTTGATCCTTCCCCTTGGCATCCCTCCCACGTTCTTTCCTCTCTATCTGTCTCTTTGATGTTATATTACCTCTACTAAAGCCCCATCTCATTTCCTTTAATCTTGTTTACAAACTCTTTAAAATTATTCCTCTTTAAAAATTAATGGTTTTGTTCCTCTTCGTTAATACCTCGTGGTTTTTTTATCCCCTCCCACACCTCGTCCCCAGGTAAACTCGACCCACAGATGTTACACAAAGACTCGTACTCAGACGGTGGCGATGAGAAGTGCGAGGCGGTGGATAACAAGACCCTGGAGAGTATGGAAGATCGGCCGAATGTCGGGGTTCTCAACTTTACCGTCGAATACCGAGTGGACAAGGCGGTTTTCATGGTCACTATACACCGAGCAAGCTATCTTCCTGCCAAGGTATGGTCTTGACTATCCCCGGTTCATTGTGATGTCACTTTATGCGATGTTTGGGAACCCCCACCCTCACCCTTTCACTCCTCCATGACATTAAGATGTCGGACACCAATAAAAAGGTTTATAATTATGGCTGATAAAACAAATGGAATATAACGTTTTTCGACCAATGGCATACAGGTGGGATATTTCAATGGAACAGAAAAAAAAAGAAAACTGCCTGTATATTCTTGAAATGACGCTTGGCAGAGACTTTTCTAAAATTTCGTCACCTTTTTGCAGAAGTAAGAACGGTGGGATGTGTTACGAGAACGATGTGTCTTTTGATACAATGACAATGTAAATGCACGGGTCACACTACCAGGGATTGGCATAGGGGGAAGGGGATTAACATATTTACAAATATAAGATTCTGGTACATTTCAGGGTTGTTGGGTGGGGGGGGGGGGTTCGTCACCCCCAAAACGTGGTTCGACACCCCTCCCGCATCTTTATTCAAAATCTGATAGCGACGCTCCTGGAATAGTGTGGAAAATGATGATTGTTTGACCGTTTCTGGCAGGTGTACGACTTGCTAACTGGGTCAAGAATTAGATGCTCACCTGCAGCACACCTGGAGGCTGTTCACACCGGCAGAGATAGCGCGCGCTAGACCGCGCTATCTCTGCGGTGTTTAAGGTACAACGTCGTTTCGGTCCGCCCAACAGCGAGTCACGGCGAGCCAAAACGGCGTGCCACCGGAGCACCTCTTGGGGGTGGTCCACAAAAGATAGCGCGGTCTAGCGCGCGCTAGAAAAAAGGGGATGCTACGATAGACCGCGCTATCTCATTGCGGTGTGAACAGCCTCTTAGAGGCTGTTCACACTGGCAGAGATAGCGAGCGCTAGACCGCGCTATCTCTGCGGTGTGGAAGGTACAACGTCGTTTCGGTCCGCCCAACAGCGAGCCACGGCGAGCCAAAACGGCGTGCCACTGGAGCACCTCTTGGGGGTGGTCCACGAGAGATAGCGCGGTCTAGCGCGCGCTAGAAAAAAGGGAGTGCTACGATAGACCGCGCTATCTCATTGCGGTGTGAACAGCCTCTTAGTCGCGTTTACTGTTTAGTGTTTCTGTGTTTCTGAGTGGTCTAGGCACCGTGCGTTAAAAAATATTAAAAGAGAAGATCAATGCGCACGCACGCCGAGTAGTCGAGAAGCCGGTTTCACGTCGAGCAAGGCTAGATGTCAATGCAATCGAAACTGGGCTGACCAGATTAAACGTAAAAAACAGAAATACGAAGTTGCAAACCATCAAGGGACTCCTAATAAATAAACAAATAAATAAACTGCGATACTGGTGAAATATTGCGTTTATATTCAGTACTGACTGAACGCCATTAAACAACTACCACAACAACAACATCTGATTGTGAAAGGATGATTGGTGGCGTTTCTTGTAACATCATTTCATTAATTTTCACATTTGAAACCGCTGTTTCGTCGCAATCATTCCATTCTGATTTCATACGTTGACCAATAGACAACCTTCCCTAATCATATTCAGACTTTTTTCTCTTGCCAACCCCGTCTAAAATCTGAAGGCAAACGTTTACCATCCATACCTTCATTTAACGTCATTCGAGATGTTATTTTTGACTCATTAATAGTTAAGTGGCCGAAGGCTAGCGTTTCAAAGGTCTTTTACGTGCCTCAATTCCGTAAGACGACACGAGTGGCTTGAGGTACGGGATCTGAACCTATTATCTCAAACTCTCCAGGAAATGCTGTACATTGAACTTAGCTGAGCATGACGAAAACCCGCCATACTGTTCGGTTCACATTTTCATCAGGAAATTGAACGCGGAGGTAAACGTTTTCTATAAATAGGATAATCACAGCACATTTCTGCTCTTACCGTACAAAAGAGCCAATTTATCCAATATGTTATTTTTAATATATTCTAGAATTGATTTATTCATAATTTTCCATCGGAGAGGCCGTTGTTGTTGAACTTGCCTTGTAGTTGTTGTTCGGATGTCGAGATGGCGCTCTTCAATCTGCTGTGTAGACAAAAAATAATAAATATTTGAAGAGGAAAAAAGTTAAGAAGTGTCCCTTTATCTTGAGTTATCTTGTAGCTCCGTCTTCGACCTGGGTGTGGTTCACAAAGACTAAGATCGACTTGAAGTTGGACTTAACTAAGACAGGCCATTCATGGCACTGGTCGCTCTCACTATTGGTATGTCAATTATGACCTTTAGATAATATTTTTTTCCTTCAATAATGAACTATCAAAAAAGGTAAATTCCGTAGATTTGTGACCACGATTTATACGTCCCTTGAGAAACCAATGCCATGAATGGTTAGATGAACTAGTGGCACGAATAGCCTGCCATAGTTAAGTCCAACTTAAAGTCGATCTTAGTCTTTGTGAAACACCCCCTGGTGTCTAACCCCTTAGATCACAGGGAACATACCTGAAATCTGTGGGGATGCATCTCGAAAAGTACCCCCCCCTCCCCTATATTCTGAATTAAGAGACAGACTTCATCTTGAAGCGTGCCCTACACGTGATTTCTAAACCTCGTAATGGTATTTTGTAACTAGAACGCAGAAGACTATATGGAAGAAAATAAATCAGTTTAATCTTGCGTGCCGTCCAGCATCTCCGTAACTCCGCTCCGGAGCATGCATGAAAGCTTCTTCTTTCTTTTTTTTTCTTCAGAAAATAGAATCCCTGATCGATAATCAGTCATTCTGAATTGTGCTTTAAAAGCGCTTCTTGCTTTGCTTGTCATTTAAGTCACGCACTTATTTTTTCTAACATCATTTCTCCCTACCTGTGTCTGACTACCCTAGAGTTTTTTCTATGATCAATAGTGAACATAATGTGGTTCTTCTTAACAAGGGGTGGACATGGTGCACAATCCAGGGTAACTTGGTGAGCATGAATCTTACGAAGGGGGTAGTTCCATCTCATGTTGCTGTCTTGTAGCATTTTCTTCGAAATATGCGCCACTCTAGCACTATAAAAATACACATTCGCCACATAAACCGCACGACAATCCTCTATTCGTTGTTAGGTACTTTCTAAAAACTACTTGTTACCATGACAATGTATTTTTTATTACTGTTTTGCAGGATCCAACTACTGGTGCGTCCGACCCCTACGTTAAGCTGTGCCTGCTCCCTGAGAAGAAACACAAGGTGAAGACCAGGGTCCTGAGGAAAACTCTCAATCCCATCTACGAAGAAACATTTACCTTCTATGGGCTGGCATATAACCAACTACAGGTAAGGAGAAGTTTAAATAATGGCGTAGCCATGGGGGGGGACACGGGGAAACGGGGGCACAAGACCCCCATTTGAATGATGAATCAGGGGGGAAGGGGTGTGACGAAAGAATGGCAAGAAGTGGATTGTTTGGCTCCTTTCCATTCCTCAATTGAATTCTTCTTTCAATGTTATCAATTATTTGGGGGGCATTATAACGCCAGTGCCCCACCCCCTCTCCACTGGAGCAATTCTACGCCATTAATTTCAAATGGCTAGTAGCCCGCCTGTGTAGGCGGGTGAAGTGAAGTAGGTAAGAGATACATATAAAAAAATTAATAAGAAGGAGAAAGAGAGAGAGAGAGAAAGAGAGAGAGAGAGAGCGCGAGGGGGATAGAGAGGGGGATAGAGAGAGAAAGAATGGTTAAGGAAAATGAGAGATGGAGGAAGGTGCATTTCTTATTCCAATAGCAATGGATACCAATGCAAAATCTTGGACGATCAATTTGTTTATTAAAAAGGGTAAGTACAAATCATTGAATGTTGTAATTAAAAGAAGCCATTATCACGAAATAACCCAGTTTAGTGCGAAATGATGATTCGTATGAGCATTTCTTCAGAAATTTGTCTCGGTTTACATTGCAGTTATTGAAGGTTTTTTTTCTTTTTGTTTGTTAGATCTATTATAACTCTTCATTTGGTAGTAATTTTTGAATTGCGTTTTAATATTGATGTTTTGTATCTTTTTGTTTGTTTGTAGGGTGTAACTCTTCACTTTGTAGTGATGAGTTTTGATCGTTTCTCCCGGGACGAAGTGATAGGTGAGGTGGTGATGCCCCTGTCCAACGTCGATCTGAGCACCAGACCGGTCAATCTATGTCGAGATATCAAACCAAGAAATACACGGGTAAGTCTCATCATTTCATCCCACTGTCTTGGAATCTTTCTGTAACATTACTCTTTTGTTACAATTCTGATCCTGCTCCTCCTTCTCATCCTCATCATCATTTTCTTCTCCAGTTTCACTTTCTTCTTCTTCTTCTGCCACTTATTCTTCTTCTTACCCTGCTTATACTACATCTCTCCGTAAACTTTTATTGACAGTTGAATTTGTAGATAGCAGAGTTATTTCTATACGGATGTAAAAAAAAACAAATAAACAAGAGCGAACAAATAAAACATAAGACAGATTATTTATGATATAGTAATTTTATTCATTGTTTTTTTTTTAAATTGTGTTTTTGTGGGATCATTTAAGATAATAATAATAATAGTGGGTTCTTGTATAGCGGTCATGTCTGTCAGACTTGACACTCCTGGCGCTCCCAGGATGTAATGGGGAAAATTCATCTTCCCTTGAAAATAAATGGAAAAATTAGACCAAGCGTCAGAAAGCTGTGGTTATTTAAAAAATCTCATCTATCACCATTTTGTTATTTGCAGGATTATTTTTCAGTTTTTCATGGCACATAAATCACTTTTCCCTTCTCATGTTTTCGATCAGATCCCCAAGTCACAGGGCCGTGGTGAGTTGCTGACGTCACTGTGCTATCAACCGGCAGCTAACCGACTTACTGTGGTGGTCCTCAAGGCAAAGAATCTACCCAAGATGGATGTCACTGGACTTGCAGGTAAATAGATCATAAAGTACAGGTATTGAAGATGAAGAAGAGGAAGGAGAGGAGAAATGAGAAATTAAGAAGAGAAGAAGAAGAAGACGAAGAAGAAGAAGAAGAAGAAGAAGAAGAAGAAGAAGAAGAAGAAGAAGAAGAAGAAGAAGAAGGAATAGAAAAGAAAAAGGAGAAGAAGAAAAACAATTACTAAAAAATATATGAATCAAACATACGTGCATGATATTCAATCACTTATTTTTTTCATCTAAATAATGTGTTAGAGAGGTTGATTAAATTCGATGAACGTCAGGTGAAAATGAAATAATTAAGTTGATTTTGTACTCATAAAAAAAAGTAATCATAAAAGTATTACAGCTAATTGATAATTCATAATTTATCAAGGAATTTTTTTCTCAAGAGAAAGTTGTTCCCAGCTAACATATACCTTTTATTTCTATCATAGACCCATACGTGAAGATTTATGTGATGTACCGCAACCAGCGCCTAGCTAAGAAGAAGACTCGTCTCAAGAAACGAACTCTAAACCCTGTCTTCAATGAATCCTTCCTCTTCGATATACCAATGGAGGGACTGGAGTATCTCAAGATTGAATTTCAGGTAAAGCTTGCACAATGCAACATGTTTATCAATGCCACGGAGCAAATCGTGTTATAGGCCTATTAATTATAACAATATTTTTAATGTGTTATTTTTAAGTTCCGTGCCTATGCCAAGCTAGAATATTGCATTAAAAATATTTAATTTTTCGAAATGTACTTTAAATTTTGCTCTTTCCATCTTACAAATAATGAATTGAACAGATCCTTAAATTTGATTGGAAACAATCGGGTTTGATAATAGCAAAGAAATTGGGCTTGCTGCATAAGTTGATGAATTGTATCCGAGAACGAAAAAAGGAGCAACATTTGTGATAGGATTCTATAGTCTGACATGAATCAGCATTCACCAGATGCAGACTACGAATAATACATTTAATACATTTATTCGAAAATGTATCGCTTGAATTTGCGGTGAAACTCAATTTTTATTTCCCATTACTTGATCAGGTGCTGGATCACGACCGAGTGACAAAGAACGAAATCATCGGCCGATTGGTGATTGGACGAGATGAAGATGGAGAGGCGGAGTCACAGCACTGGAAGGAGATCATGCAGAACCCGCGTAAACAGATCGCAGAATGGCATAAACTCACCGAATAAGACCAAACAAGCAGTGTCGTCTGCGTCTATTTCAAAGATTAAGACCACAAAGTTCCACAAATTAAAAAAATAATTATAATGAAACAGAAATAATTTCTGCTGTATTTGTTACCATCCCGGTTATGGTTGATCTTGAATCTGAAATTTAAGGCAGTCTACATGTACATTCAGCTTTAAGACTGGCACTATTTTGTACTGAACAGTTTCCTGTACATGATGTTCATGTCACGTGACCAAAAAGATGCCATGTTTGATGTCTAGCAAATCAATATCAAAATATGGCATCAAAGTTTTTTTAAGTCAGAAAAAATCAGGAAACGATCAAGTTCATACGGGTGAGTTCCACTTTTCGGTTGATATTCCATCAAGTTAAAAAAAATATGACTTGGTTACCTAACGAAATGTAGCAGACTGTGATCTTCGCAAATGTTCATGTAGCAGTTATTAGAAATGTGAATGAAGAAATTTGCATTTTATCACTATAATCTCACCGCTTTGAAGATAATGTTCACTAATTTAAATTCACCAAAAATTTGATGTAATCCTATTATATCAACAGTAATGTGTTCACATACACGGGTATATAGTAAGAACGGCAGATTAATTGCATGTCATGATTTGAATATGTGTATGATAAATAAAATAAAAATATCAGCATTATTTTTAGAAAAATATGCAGCAGATGTGAATTTTTAAAATTTGTTCATAAACTTGATAAATATGAATTCAGCAAACATGTAAAATGCAGCAGCACAACTCTGATATTTTGGAGCTATAGGGTATTTGTACGAATTAATTTATAGGCATCGTTTCATTTGTTTCGAATAAAACTACAAGTAAAAAGAAAACATCCATTCGTTGGCTTAGACATTAATATAATCTTGTAAAATACACTCATATCGAATATTATGATTTCCTTTTTTTATTGGTTTTTATTTCCTGCTTGTATGAAGCATCGTAAGATTAGAGGTCAAGTAGTGAAAAACTTACTAAATTTAATGGTACCATATTTTATTCTTTTAAACCATTGTAATGTTAGGATTATTCGTAATATTAAAGGACCTTAGGAGATTATTGAGTTCCTTTTGATAAAATAAGCGTAACATATTGTGCGCTGGTGGTAAATATATAAATGTTTTAAAGGAACCTATCTCTTTGCATTACTAAAAAATATAAAGAGTAGGATAATTATTAAAGATTGAAAACAATTGACAGTGAAAGAATGGCTGAAACAGATTGATTTTTAATACTCTAAATTGTAAATGGAGTATCAAAGATGCCTAACGAATGTTGAAAATATTCTGTAAATTGGACTTTGTGAAGATATAATTATTAATGTATATTTGCTATATTAATAATGAAATAGATAACCTATCAACATCCAAACGCTTTAAAATTAGAATCATAATGAATATAAAGAAATGAATCGTGTCTGAGTCAAGTAAAGACATTGTTTAGAGGGGGTGCAGATGTGTCGTGGTCTAGTGGATAAGTCACCGGACTGGACCACATAGTTCGCGGTTGGAGTCCCGCCGCGACCCTAATGTCCTCTGGCAAGATATTGATCTACATTTGCCATACTCAACCCAGGTGAGGTAAATGGGTACCTGGCAGGAATTAATTCCTTGAAATGCTAGAGCGCCATAATGGCAGCCATTTTATAGCCGGGATAATAATCGTTGAGCGCCAGGAATGTCAAGTCTGATAGAAATGAGCGATGTACAAGAACGCAATATTGTTATTTGTAGTATCATAATAGGCTCAACCCTTAAGTTGTGATGGGTTTCGCTTAAAAAACAGCATGGTGAATTCTGATTGACGGGTAATTACATAATCTATCGAAACAACGGCTTCACGATGTAAAATGTGGCAATTAATTTTTTTTTCTTTTTCGTAGGAGTCATAAAAAACCATATAATTTCAACCTGAACTCATAATTAACGTCTATATAGATTGTAGAATGACGTAGTTACCTTGGTTCCTCTTAGAGACGGATTTTCAGATGTCATGCGCCATAATTTTATAAAACGTAGACTTTCTTTTTATAAAACAATGTCTGATGTACGATTTTTTTTATTCAAAGGATTATTTTTATAGGAATTGGTAATCATTTTCTATGATGCAGACTTGTAGTTGCATGAAAATCAAAATACTTGTTTATAGGGGAATAGCATGTTATTCGATTATTTCGTAACTGATAAGTATGAACTTTTTAAAGAGATCAGTTTCGTATGAATAATTTTTTTTTCGATTATAAAAGATTGTCATTAACTTTGCATGCCAATGAAAATTACTCGTTGTGGGAGGGTGGAGTATTATTTTGTAAAAATACTGACTTATAAATAAAAATAGAAACTAATCATCATTTTTCAATTATAGAAGAATATCATTAAATGTTCATGTCACAAAATTTAGGTGTTTACAGGGGAAACACATTCGAAGACCTTTTTAGTGGTAATATTTGATTACTTTGTATTGATAAAAGATAACCAAATTATTAAGGTTTATAGAATAACGTGCTTCAGGGTGTATATACATTATGAATAGTATTCATTATATTCTTTAGGAATAAACCATAAACATATCACGCTTGTATATAAATTATGAAACCCGGCTTTCCCTATGCTTCTCTGCACTGTGTATAAAAAAAAAACTACATTGTGTTAAATGCTTGTAAATTGAGCTTCTGTAAAAGAGGAATAATATGTGAAAAGGAGATACGAAAAGAGAAACAAAGTGGAGAGGGATAACAAAAAATTATATATGTATATAATGACAAGAGTTTGTAATTTTATTTCGTGCTGTTGTGTTAACAAACGTCCTGTGTAGTATAGGGCCAACCCGATTTCAACGAAAAAAAATAGTACTGTGATAAAATAAAAGATATTTTATGATTATAGTTAAAACATTACTTGTGATTTGTGTTGATTTTTTGCTTTTTGTGTACACATTATACTACCGACATATCACCATTCTGGGGGTGGAGGCGTAATGTCGGGGAAGGGTTTGTCGCTTAATCTCCAAGCACACATTCTAGTTTGAAACTATGTAAAACAAAGTGCATTGTGCTTATAGTGAATTCACAAGTTATCGTGGTAAAGCAAAGAGAAATTTGAATGGCCATTGATTAATTTGCCTTCACTTCCCGTCTAGCATTTGTCTAGTATCAATTTATACTGACCACCAGGCAAGGTTTTTCCTCTAATTTACTATAAGCTAATAAGGGCGAATCCAGGAGGGTCATCATCTCAAGGAGGGGGTGGGGGAGGAGGTTACATTATTGGATTTGTGTATTATAGGTAAAGGGGGCACTGGTCGATTTTGCCCATCGTCTTCACCTCCCCTCCCCCTTAATCCGCCAGTGCGACCCGAAACATACGCACCAACATACTTTTGCTGTGTAGGGTGCTGTACCTTTTATCATGGATTAAATGTCAGGACGTAGTTGACTGTTCTCCGGGTCCTGAGGAAGTTATCGAAGAATAGAGAGGCGATGTGAGAGGAGCAACGAAAGGGGGGGGGGTGAGAATGTGAGAAATGCAGAGAGAGAGAGAGAAATAGAGAGAGTGAGAGTGAGAGAGAGAGAGAGAAAGAGAGAGAGAGAGAGAGAGAGGGTAGCTGGAATAGAGGGAGGGGAGGGATGGAGGGGTGAAAGATATATAGAGAGGGGGGGGGGGGAGGTGTGTTGCCCGACCAAGTAAAGTGGCATAGAAAATAATGGCCCAACACGGTTTTGTATGATTAAAATCCACGTTTTTACGTTATGTTATCCAAATATTCCAATTCTTCGAAAAATATACAAGAGCGAAAAGACCATACTATTTGTTCCGTGTGTTGTGCAGTCATACAACGATATGGACGGATTGGGCGCAATATGGGAAATTCTGTTGCTCGAAGTGCGCCATCTATCGTTTTCAACGGCTTCTGTCCAGTTTTAATGGTTATAATTTATTATATACCTTGAATAATACCTGATTACCAAAGCTTTTAGAAGAAAGCTGTCTGCAGCTGCCAAGCTGGTCTAACTTCAAGAGAAGGAAGGGGGGTCCCAGCTTCCGGGTCTTACACCATGGTCATTTTACTTCTGTCTCTTGCTTGATATCTTTCTTTTGAATTATCTTCCCCTGTTTGAACTCTCCCAAATTAGGAAATCAGGTTTAATTAATCAGTATGCCTATATGCAATAAAACAGTATAGTAGCAATATGTCTTTTACTCGTGCAGAACGATAATAAATGTTGCATCATAATTATCAAACACAAAATAAATTATTTCCAATAAGTTTTTGTATTTCTTTTAATTCAACTAGCTAGTCATATCGAACTAACTATAAAACCTTTTTGAGGAGGAAACCAGCAATGATACAACAGTCTGATACGACATACGTGAGATATCGTGGCCATTTTCTAGACTGTTAATGTACTGGCCCGTAACAGTCACAGTTAATTGAGTACAGACGAAAAGGAGACTTTATTTACCTAAATTTAAAGGTAGCGGGTCACGAATGAATACAATATAAAGGGTTCGATGATCAAGCTTTCTAAAGAACTCTAATAGCCATAGGTATTTCTATTTAAACTGCTTTTTTCTCACAATAACCTGGATATTAAGAATCGTGACTTAGATATTGAAAAATTTGATTTCATAACAAACAAAATTATGCAATGCAAATATTTGGTCTTGGGAAGGCTTAAACTAAAAACTCATAACAATATGAAGTTTGACCTGCTCTCTCTCTCTCTCTCTCTCTCTCTCTCTCTCTCTATCACGCGTCTTCTCTCTCTCTATATAAATATATATCTCTCTCTTTTTCTCTTTTGCCCTCTCCCCCTGAAGTTTGACCTCCTCTCTCTCTCTCTCTCTCTCTCTCTCTCTCTCTCTCTCTCTCTCTTTATATATATATATATATATATATATATATATATATATATATACATATATACACACACATGTATATGCTGGAAAATGCTACTGACATGTATATTTCCGATCGTTTTTGCATGTTCTCTTTAAATTTGCCGTCAACTTTTCTCTTCCCTTCCTGCCTCATTTTCTATAGATCTTCGTTTGCTTCTATGTTCTCACAAAAGTTCGGTTTCTATTTTCATTTCTTTCTTTCTGTGTTTTCATGCCGAATCGAGGAAAACAGAGTATCAGTTTATCACAATACCTGGCCGTGTATTGTGCAAAAAGTCACATTTTTCACACCACTTTACTTACAGCCTATACATTTTGCTTGAGCGGGATTTCAAGCAGTACTTCTTGTTTGCAGGATAGAGTTACGCCACGGAAATACCTAGTATATTGTTGATCAAAATAATCCTTTATTTTGAAAAGAACGGAAAAGAGAAAGTAAAGGTTAAGAGATTGTGACGTCATGTATGATTCGCCTGCCAAGGTTATCATGTGATTGAACTTTGACCTTTGGGGAATTTATCAATGTCAATTGGGGGTTGGACTAAGCAATCTGTCATCGATGAATACAATCATAGGTTATCCGAGGTGAAATATTCGTAGAAAGTCTTACACCTCAACCTACATTGAATTATGTGGGACAAACCTCCGACCAGGGAGGTGAAATAGAAGCATTATACTCGACTACTCATGACTGAAATGATTTAGTACCTCATTTAATAATGGGGTAACATTAAACCACGGTCATTATGGTTGTATGAGTCACTATAGCATCAAGCTGCAAACTGGTCTCCGTTTCAAACTCATATTAATAGCAAAAAGTCGGTTAATCAGACGAAAATAACTTCATGTTTACTGAAACATGTTGAAGTGTTTGATGGACTCTTTCACTTTCACTCTCTCACTAGTCAAACGAAGATAAATTCATTCTGAGTTAAATGTGTTTGAAAATCACTTCATGATGTCAATACTCACTTCAAAATCATTGATAGTGCACTTCATACCTTGGCATTGATAACATACGGCATACCATGCATCTATTTTAAATTGTGAAAAATCGGAAATTTCAACAAATTGATTGTCGAAAATTTCCATTTCTTTTTGTATTTCTTTATGTTATACGGACTTTTTGGGAAAGTATGTAGACCAAGACAAATAATATTCCACTCAATGTATGTTTATCATTTTCATCATGCCACCTTAAGCTCAACTTTGTGCTTTAATGCCCATCTGCACTAGTTTGGACAGGAGTGATTAGACCTCCCTACGTGGTCACTGACATTATGGTTATCTCATCAAATCAGCTCTCAATTAACATTAAAAAGGGGATCATGGGGACCAACGGTCACCGATTAGGCATCGGTCGCTGTATAGAGGGCGCAAGTAGCAAGATGCAAACATCTGGCGGGAATAAAGGTTTTGCCGTAGAGAAAGTCACATTCAACATAGGTTGGAACATTAAATGATTTTACTAAGAAGTGGTTGTGTAACAAAAGCACGCAGTGGTGGTTACTGGTCAGAGACTTTACCAAGAACAGACACATGATAAGTATCTAGAAAATTATCCTCAGTTCAGAGAAAGATGTTATTACATTGAAACCATAATTCCATTATAGGCTTTATAGGCTTTAACTAGAACATAAAATGATATATAATGTTGAATATATGCCAAATGACAATTAATTTTGTATTTAGCCGTTTGAATTTTGCCGAAACGTGTACAAGTAGGCTTACCTAACATCATATGTACATTAACAAAAATTGTATATTTTGAAAGCGATTCCGTTTACTGGTATAAACAGCCACCTTTCATATGGGGAGTGGGATAAGAGAACGAGAGATGAGAGATGGATAATGGGGAGGGAAGGGGGCATGATAGAGAGAGAGAGAGAGAGAGAGAGAGAGAGAGAGAGAAAGAGAAAGAGAGAGAGAGAGAGAGAGAGAGAGAGAGAGAGAGAGAGAGGGAGGGGGAGAGAGGGTACAAAGTTGTTTTAATTGACCTATTGAATCGGGCGAACTGCGATTTACGTACATGTATATTACGGTATTACCTGAGACATCCAATTTTGACAAACTTCTTGGATTTCCCCCAAAATGGATTCATTGCACAATGTCACCAAGATACACTGTTATCGGTGGTACACAATATAATGAATTGGTGATGTCATTGAGACACAAAGATCCTATTCACAAGTGCGAAGTCAGAATAAGAAAGGAAAACAATTAAATTGTGTTGTCCACAAAAGAATTGTTTTGTCGTCCTTGTGTCATTAATGCGGGTGGAATGAAAAAAAAACACGTTTTTTTTCTTCTTCTAACCATACTTGAATGTACATTACTATTCTCGAAATAGAGAGATCGTTGTACCTATATTACACGGAAACTGGTCATGAGATACAGAAGTAGTTAACTTTGAAGTTAAGCCTTCAACGTTTTGGCGTACAGACAAAAATAGTTTTGTATATTTCGTTTCACTTTACATTCAGACTTTTTTCTATCGCCCAAGGTGTTTTTTCCATTGGAAACTCAGTTTTAAAGATTGATGAAATCCAAACTTCAATTGGAAAGAAGAAAGCACAGCGATACGTAGCGATAAGAAAGCTAAGAAGAAAGTTAATAAGACGAAGCGGAACCAAGCTGTGTAACAAGTTGATGTCATACGTTGTACAGTATCTAGAGACTAGAAGTTGATTCGATATATTGATTTTTTGATCATCGTTCGTTGTTTAAAGAAAACAAGAAGTTTACTATAAATTACATAAGCACCGAAATTCTCCCAGTTAAAACTAACTCTTTACTTTTTTTTCAAATCGTATTTACGAAAAGACGGAAAGGACAAGGACAAAACAGTCTTAATGGCATTAAACCATGTTAAATCTGAGATGTATGACCCTAAAATTGAAGCCCTAAACAAATTGCGCTTTAAAATGATCATGAAGTGCCTCAAAAAAGTAAAAATCTTTTAGTGACCGGTTTTTCCATACTTCCTGCAAAATATGAAAACCGTAAGGAAAACGAAAAATAAAATTTCGATTTCCAATCATAAATATCTTAATAATCAGACAGGCGATCGGCTTGTAAAAGTTGTGGGATTCCTGACTGACATAAAGGTTTATAATTATGATTGCAGCATGAGCTAAATCCAGGATTTTGTTTCAGAATCTGAGGCAATGTTACCGAGTCACTTTAAAAAAAAATGTTCGTTAGGAAAAATAGGATTATTCGATTTTCCCGGAACCTCGATTCATAACAATTTTGAAGATTTCATGTCGTAAAAATCCCCCCCCCCCTATCATGGTCTAAAATCTGTAATATATGTATATTCAAAGTGTGACGTCAAACACCTTTTGTGCTAAACAATGGTGTGGTGATCATACTAGCCCCAAACAAGTTTGCCCTGCTCCAGTCCGCTGCTTGAATGATTTCACGGTAAACCTCATGCGCAGGTTCTGTTGTTTAGAATCTGTAACCGTGAATGACGAGTGAATATGACGTTAGCACTTTGGTCCTCTATTCCAAGGTATTGTATAAAGATATGTTATACATCGATCGATTTTGTTTTCCCCCATGTTCTAGCGACCAGCGGCTACCATGTTTATTGATGCTCATGACCTTAACAAAAAGCCGATTTACATGGAACCTTTTCAAGCGTATTGTCACGAAAACCAATTCGTTCAGCAAATTGATTTTCAGTTCATAGAATGGTTTATTAATCAATTAATTTGAATTACTTTAGAGAATAAACATGCATACAGTTAGTGAGTCTTCAAACATAATACCGCTTCTCCTGTTTGGTATTTCTTTTTTTCCCATATTAGTCGATCGAATTAAGTTAATCTTTAAGTTGCCCATTAAGATGAGTGTACAGTTTCCTCTTTTAGACTTTTCCGTTTAACTGCCCCCGTAAACCCTTTCTCTCTTTTCTCATCGTGAAGGAGGGTAATCTACATCGATTGTTCTCAAAAGTGACGTCATGAGATGAGAAAACACGGAATAGTTTGCTAACCCCATCCCACTCTACGATCCCCTTTAATCTGGGTATTCATGTACCGGGCGTTGCTTCTCACCGAAGAATAGAACGTTGGTCTGAAAAAGCATTGTTATTCATTGGCCGAACAAATACAAAAGAAGCAGTATGACGGTTGACTACAAAATCGTCCCAACATGCTGTGCATTCATTCGAAACCGTTTCCTTTTATGCGTCCTAAGGCTTGAAGATCTAGAGGACGGATATATACGTTGATGTAATAACAAACGCTGTAAAAAGGACAGGACATAACTACAGATTGCTCTATCGGAGGAAAGAAAATAAGGCTTAACACTCATATTTCATACTTTTAACGCAGACGTGAATATGGAAAGCATCTGAAAAAAGGATATGGGTGAGCTGTGATCATTTGGCGGGGAAACAAAACGCCAATTATTGGAGAAGACCACTTGTTATTATGCGAAGCATTAGTCATCCGGCGACCACACCTAACTCTATGTAGAAACCTGTAACACTACATCGCCTTGTGTACACACACCCGGACACACAATCGCATTCTCTTCGCTCGTTCATTTCTCATCGTGCTGTCTCAGAAGCAAGAAGCCAAGGACCGTTTTCGCGGAGGCACATTTTTCTCAAGGAATATTGGCTCTATTTCATTTCAACATGATGGAATATCATAAATCTATATCGTTTTTGAGGACTTTCATCCTTTCCTTTGTTTATCTTGCCTTATCCGTGAAAGAAACCCAGTCATATTCTAGTGGAGCACCTCTAGACGCCTGTACCACTTTAACACCGGGGCATGGATACACCCCTCAAACTTCTACCAGTCCTTTTACGATTACCCCTCAGTTTCGGAATTACGGACCGAGTACTCAAATGCAAGGTGAGTGTCCTTCAAGAAATCACCTGTAATGGTCATTTCTGGCATATTTGGCATTGTTTTATACTTGAGTCATGCTGGTGTGGTTTACCATCGGCATTATTATAATAAGTTTGGAAGGATAACGTTCAGCGGGAGTGTTACAGCTGGTATGTGATGCATACAAAGTGCACCTGCCCACCGTTGAATGTTATTGAATTATTACATTAACATGTTTATCCTTGTGTTATCATTCGTTCTTTTTATAGACATAATTATGTAGGCTAACTAGTTTACCACTCATACTCAAAGTCAAACATGTCCGAGGTTTGTTGGAAGTTAACGCTTATACATGTACGAGTTGGTGATGCAAGGTTGAGATGAAAAACGGCGTTCTTCCAAATACCGTGTACATGTAGTTCCATGTACTTGTATATTCATACAGTGTATAGGGGCCTATATCATCTCCCCTCAATTTCAAGGATTTTCTTATTTAAATCTGTCTTCTTATAAGTTTCCAGTATGTTCATGTAGGCATGTCTCTTTAAGCTTTACATGTTTATGTACATGTATCTGCACGATATGAATAACCTTTTTTTTTCTCCGTCGTATGTTGTAGTTGTTTGTTAATTTTCAATTATCAATATCTTCAAATTCATATTTTCCAAATGATTCTTTTGAGATGATGGTTCATTGGGCTGTTGTATATTTACCATTATTCTCACACTTTGAGAGTAATCTGATTCTCCTTCTAGCTTCTTCGCCTTCCATTTCTCCTTCTTCTTCGCCTTCCATCCATTTCTCCTTCTTCTTCTTCTTCTTCATCTTCTTCTTCTTCTTCATCTTCTTCTTCATCTTCATCTTCTCCTTCCTCTCCTCCTCCCTCTCCTCCTCCCTCTCCTCCCTTTTCTACTCTTTCGTCTCTTCTTCTTTTTCTTTTCTTCTTTTCTTCTTCTTCTTGTTCATCTCCTTCTTCTTCTTCTTCTTGTTCATCTCCTTCTTCTTCTTCTTCTTCTTCTTCTTCTTCTTCTTCTTCTTCTTGTTCATCTCCTTCTTCTTCTTCTTCTTCTTCTTCTTCTTCTTCTTGTTCATCTCCTTCTTCTTCTTGTTGTTCATCTCCTTCTTCTTCTTCTTCTTCTTCTTCTTCTTCTTCTTCTTCTTCTTCTTCTTCTTGTTCATCTCCTTCTTCTTCTTCTTCTTCTTCTTCTTCTTCTTCTTCTTCTTCTTCTTCTTCTTCTTCTCCGTCTTCTTTTACTTCTTCTTGGTTTCTTTGCCTCCTTCAATCCTGAAGATTCTTGCAGGTCTTTGAGAATTTATGACGAAACCAACCGAATATTAAAGATAATCTTTATCGAAACGAGACCCCGGACGTTTACTTTTAAACAAGGATATCAACTGCGATAAGCATGGAAAGAAAATGTCTTTCATTTTTCTACCGAATTTAAGAAGAACGAGGAAACAAATAGAAGGGGACACAATGACTACTTATCATAAAACCATGGCCTAGCTAGCATATTCATTGATAAGAAGAGACGAAACGGAAGGACTAAGGTCAGGCTATATCATCGAAGAGGAATTCATCGTAAAGATAAAAATGAACCTTGAGCTAAGTTCATGTTTACTGACTGACTAATCAAACCATTAATTTTAGTTCAACCATGGTTCAACACGTGTGTTGTGTTTACCGTTCTGAGGTCAGAATTGTATGTTCAAATTAATCCAGCTGAAAAGATGCATCATGATACATCACCCCAATGTTCTGAACAGGACGGAGAGAGCATGGTAAAAAACTACGATGTCAACATCTTTCGGGATGTGTATTGGTAAGAGTTAGAATACATGCCCACTGGGATTAAGACTGCATCAACAGGATATAATATCAATCTACAAACTAAAATTTTAAGTCACCATTTAAAAGCAACAATAGCAACAATAGGCTGATTGTTCATTGTATCGTTTTTATTTATTTCAAATTTATGGTAATTGTTAAGTAGTCTGTAAAGTCGTGGCGAGTTTTAGTTCGTATTACACAAAGCACTCTGCTGTACAGGTATACCAAAACAGAGTCTGTGTCGTTAAATTCATGTATAATTCATGGCCCACACAAATGGTCACTGAATACTGTGATTTAGCCGCTCAAATCGAACAAATATGAAACGTAGAAAACAAAGAGCGTTCATTATTGTAGGTCCATGATCATATTCGCACAAGCTAATAATATGACTAAAGGGTGGCGTCTATATGAAATCAATAACCCTCATTGAATGCCGCCTAGGGTATCGTACTGAAGTGTTAGATTTAATTAGACAGTGCTATCCCTAGCAACGTTTTTATTGAACTTCTATGGTCAACTACCCATATAAAAGGGGTGGGGTATAATGAAGCCACCCCACCCTGCCCTGATCAGTTAGCCTGTGTGATGATAGGTATATAAATAATACTCTCTACAAGTACAACTGCAATGACTGTAACAACAACAAGTTCTCAGAATCTTCATAATTTAATAAAAGAAAGATAGCATCAACGAGCATATTCTAACGCCAGAATCATACATGCAAACTTAAATGGTAATGACATTTTGTTAATAGATTAAACATGATGAATTGAACTTTTAACAAATAAACAGAAAATTTTACTACAGTGTACATGTACATGTATATAGGACACGCATACTTTTATCTAATAGAAGTAGATCCTTATATGGGGATGTTATTAAACAAGATGACAAGACATGGAGAGGAGATTATTCCGGAGTCTTCAACAGTTACATCACACAGCCCTATCCTCTGAACCGTGTAAACTGCATGTCGATTAGAGAGAGAGAGGGGGGGGGGGGTGAGAAAGACAGACAGAAAGAGAGAGAGAGAGAGAGAGAGAGAGAGATGGAGAGACAGAGAGAGAGAGAGACAGACACAGAGACAGGCAGATAGACAGACATAGAGAGAGAGAGAGAGAGAGAGAGAGAGAGGGGGGGGGGGATTCAAAAAGAAAACGGGGTGAGCCCAGCAAGGTACCATGGCTTCTTCGTCTTGCACTTTACCATGTTTGATAATGTTATTTTCTTTGTGGATTTAGTGGGAAAAGAACAAAAAGCACAATAGGTGATCATCCCTGGTGGTATCATGTCTATGGTTTCATGTTTGCAGGAGAGGTAGGTCTGTCAACATTCACAAAGCAAAGAGGTAGGGCCCAAAATAAAGAAAGCCGTCAGGGTCGAACTCTGGGCTTACCGAGGACTGTATTATAGCAGAAATGCATTTCATATAAATGAAGACCACTTATCTGTACAAGTTGTTTTAGTTTATCTTCTTTAAAACAATTTTTTTTTAAATGGAAAATAAATCTCTAACATGTAATGTATGCAAAAACTTTCATGAAATCAACTGACGGACAATTTTTGTATACCTTATTGCAAACAGGTGTGTACATGTACATGTACCTGCAAAGTGTATAGAAATGACGTGCGTACATGCACATATACGCTGTAATATGCCATTGTCATTACAGTTATGGTCAATATAACATGCAAGACAGTGGTGATATTTTGTAAGTATTTGCGATCTTGCCCTAAATAAACAGGGTTTTATGTAGAGGAAAAATGAAGGCACAACGTCAATGTACACTGTAGTTTACTAAGTATTCATTGTACATGTACATGTAGGTATACCGGTAACTGCAAAAAGTCTAATTTCTGGACTGAAATTTCATACTTTTCCCAAGTTGCTTGGCTACATTGAGGTATGGGTGAGGTGTGTGGGGGGGAGGGGGTTGTATCCTTCAATAATTTCGCGTAAAAAGTAGATGGGGGAGAGAGAGATGAAGAGATAGATAGAGAGAGAGAGAGAGAGAGAGAGAGAGAGGGAGAGAGCGCGTGAGATGATCAAGATTCAGAAGATAGCAATCTCTTCGAGGTCAAGATATTGATATGACAAAATAAAATCGATGAAATTGCCCGCTTTTAAATGTCACGAAGATGTACATTTTTTTGTTAATTTCATTTAATTTCTTTTTTACCACGACGTGGCACTTCACCACCTGATATGGAATATTTGGATAAATTTCGCCAAGAAATCAGTGGGTAGGGTTATGTACATGTATTGTGATTTACATGTACTGCATGTAGGTCGATGTCATAATAACGAGGATCACTGGATGATGAGTACATGTACCTAGTTGGGATAAAATTACATCATTCAATATCGTTACTATGGTAACGCATTGCCGTACCCTCATTACAATCAGGCTAAGTGACAATGTACATTTTGTTGTAGGCCTACTTGACGCATAAATAGAGATGTATATGTACTTATTATTTATGAATGCACACAATGAACATTAACAAGAGTGGCAGATAAAATGTCCACCAAAAGTCAATACCATCAATACATGTATGACAACACGGATGCACACGGTGTACAGACATACATGTACATTTTAATGCAGGCATCCATATTATAATGAGCTAGTCAAAACAGATTACAAACATGTGAACTAAATTAAATTGACAAATTTAACAATTGTGATGGAGAAAAGAGAAAAGTAATATACGACTCGACTCTGAATATTTAGTTGTATGACCCTTACAGTGTATCATACAAGATGTGAATTGGGAGAATCTTCGCCGAGCTTGTTACATGTCAGATCATTTCACCATTATCCTGGATTATATTCGATTGCCACACGCATCTCATTCTGAATAAAAATGGAAAAAACTATCATACACTGTAGCTTCAAAATCAGCGGTTGAGACAATACGAAACTATGGTCTCTTTGAACATATTCTATTTCACTGTAAATGTACATGTAGAATCGAATCCTATTAAAACCGGTATTTTTTAAAGATGGAAATGAAATACATGTAAAAGGGGGAAAGATACGTGCGTAATAAACTGAGAATGACTCCTGGTTTCGTAACACTGATTCAACAAACATATCTGTTGTAAATTCCAGGGAACGATTTATGGTAATTTGAGTCTTTTTCCCCCTTTTTTTTCCTTTTCGGAACCGGAATGTGGAATGGATAAACAGTAACCCATTTGATGACTAATGGAATATCCTCTCCATAAATCCGAGTTTTTCACATTTTGACCTACCCAGATCATTTCAAAAGACCATAATTTATCACTCTACCAAAATGGTCGACGTCACGACTGAAGAATGCACAGTTTTGTATGGAGGCGTGTGAACAATCGTGATTCTGAATTCGACAGGGCCAGACTATCTATTGTTCATTTCACAGGGGCATAGTACATGTATAAAGGTACATACAAAAAGACTCGGAATAATATTTGCTGAAGCGAAGAAGAAGTGCTTCGTTTCTATGGGAAACGCACACAAAAGTGATTATTTTCACGAATAAGTGACTGAAGCACGTTTAGCCTCGGAAAAGTTCAGTCAGAACCGGAAATACAGTACATACTATAGCCCTTTAGCCTAAATCATTTTATTGCAGACCTTTATATTTTGATCTGTTTATTCATTTATTATAATTTTTGCTTTACTAAATATCGTATGTTACACTTTTATAATACGCCTGCATACATGTACATGTACATGTACGTTTATTTTGACTTGACCTAATCTGGACCCTAGTGTTTTCATAGACCTGCATTGAATCACAGTGCTGGAAAAATGGCATATTACTTTTGTTGGCCTAAATGTAATCACACATGTTTCATTTCAACTCCAAAATATTCCACCCGTACTTTTGTCAAAACCGCTGTTATGGAATAATATAATTTAATAACTAATGTCTGTCAAAGAGATATAGGCCTAAATATATCATATACATGTAGGTGTAGTTCATGTGCATACTTCAGAGAATTATGAAAAGCACGTGATCATATACACCTGCCACTTTAAGATCTGCATCACTACATGTACATACTTACAGATCTAGTGGTTTCAAAGGTCTGTGAGTGGTTTTTACGAAAGTGATATCAAGATTATCGTTTCCTAGACAGTATACCACTGTCAATTGTATAATGGTCTATAGATATTCTAAATATACTGTATATAATATTAAAATATTTTCTTCTCTCTTTTCTCTTTATAATTCTTTCTCACAGCTTTCTCTTTCAATTTGATTACATTTTTTCTGAAACTCAATTCTTTTTGTCATTCTCTCACCTCTTTCTTTCTCTTTCCCTTACAATCTTCAAGCTTTCCGTTGCCGTAATTTCTTTACTTACAATGTACATGTACACTATAATTATGTAAGCTCAACAGTAATTCCATGATCACACTTTAAAGCCCCTCTGCACTAGTTTGGCATGGAGGGATTAGACCTCCCTGCGAGGTCACTGGCAGGAGGTTATCTCATCAAATCAGCTCTCAATTAACATAAGAAAAAGGACATCATGGGGATCATCTGCTGGATCATCGGGTACCACTTACATGTAGGCTGTATATAGGGCGCAAGTAGCTAAAAGTAGTGCAATGGGGGGGGGGCGGCTTTAAGATACATGTAGTATACATCCTATACATATTCAAATCACAAACTATTTTACTCAGTCTATACCAGCCAGATGAATATTAGTATACGACAATTGACACCACTAACAAATATCCTACACAATTATACACATTCATTTCAAGTAAGCAAGCCAAGTTATTGAATGGGAATAGGTCGAGACTTATGCTACTCATAATTATTAATGAAAGCCACCTGCACTTTTTGTTAAACCCATTGGCATTTCGAGGCACTGACTAACGGTGTAATAAAATCCCTTTTTTGCGAAACTTCAGAGAACTTGACCACCACATCATGACCACATCAATTTCTTGAAATATCGTGAGTTCTGATGCAAAGTCTACAGTATGTGGTGCCAGTGTCCCGCATTATTATCGGTTGGGCCAAGGATGTAGGATTATATGTTATAAGCTCCTTGGTTAGGCATAATAAATATCAAAAATGTATATGTATCTCTCTCTCTCTCTCTCTCTCTCCCTCCCTTTCTCTCTCTCTCTCTCTCTCTCCCTCTCTCTCTCCCTCTCTCTCTCCCTCCCTTTCTCTCTCTCTCTCTCTCTCTCCCTCTCTCTCTCCCTCTCTCTCTCCCTCTCTCTCTCTCTCTCTCTCTCGTTACCCCTCTTTACCCCCTCTCTCTTTCTTGCTACCCTTACACATGTACATGTCTTGTAAGGGTCTTATTTTCAAGTTACATTATACATTGTACGTCAACATTGTCAAAGCCTTTTCAAGTATGTGAACGTGTACACTTATTGTAATTCAACACCTCAGACAAGGTTATGAACAAAAGTAAGCCGACAATTCATGCATATAACTCTCGGATTGTTTTTGTGTAGTTAAAATTACAATTACAGTGTATATGTTAAGGTGTCTTCTATTTTACAAGCCTTGATTTGTTTTTGTTTTGTCTTAGTTCATTTTCAAGGGATCCTGTCATATTGACATACATGAAAAGAAAAGAAAAATCGTAAAGCAATTACTAGGATTTTTTATGTTAATGGTCTCGTTTAATTTTATTTCTCCATCCATTCATCCACACAGTAAATCTGACGACCACCAGCGGGATCTCGTTCAAGGGATTCATGGTTCAAGCCCGGGTAGTAGGCACATCCACACCGGTCGGTATCTTCAGCGACACCTCATCAGTAGGACAGAGGATAAATTGTCCTGGTGGCTTTGCTAATACTCTCACTCACATCAACAACGATCCTAAGACTTTGGTCTCTGCAATGTGGACAGGTCCAAGCGACATCAACGGAGCAGACATCGAATTCGTGTAAGTTGTCCTCAACGACGTCCATCATTCTGTAGATAAAGAGTATATTTTGTTTGTATATTACATCACCTCTGTGAATAGGCTTCTAACAAAAAATGATGTTGTATTGCCTTTTGCGACCGACCCAAATATCTTGAAATCTACGGTCGGCTTTTTAAAAAATGTTTTTTTTGGAACCGTTTTGTATAAAAATAATGTATTAAAGCAATCCAAACTGAGAAATATCCGCCCAAAGAGAGAGTTTTAAAAAATATATATTTCCGACCGACCGACCCATGTTTTAGCACCTAACGGGCAATGCAACATCTTTTTTCTAAAGGCCTTATGAAGGGACTAATTTAAAAAGACATGCCAATATCACATTTTTTTTCTCCTTTCATACAAATTAGGGAAGTTTTTGTTTAGTTTTTCTTTTTTATTCAAAGTTTGCAGTGATTTTGATTGTAACCAATTACACATACACCTGTATTTATGTCATCAGTGAGACATATTTGATTGCGCTTTGGAGAAAACGAAATTGATTTGGAATAATATACACCTGTTTTTAGATGGTGGAAGCATGAAAATTAAAGTGTCGAGACCCCTCTTGTAAAAATATCACTGATATTTTGAAAATGATATAACATGCATGAGGATAATTATATCACTTTGCAACTACACATGACACGCTAATTTTAAATTAAACTCTATTAATTATATATTTCCAATGTTTTCATCTTGCAGCGGGACTTTCGTTAACCAGAGGGCCATTTATTGGACATTCGTCAGATCATTCACGTTGACAGGTAAGAAATACATTGCACAGTCTTCTGAACTAAGTATGATTGGGGTTATGTGTCTGGAAGCTGAACAAAATTATAGATATCTCCTTTGCCTTTGGATATAACAAACACAAATTATTCCAATAGCACGAAATATCATAAATATGCGTCCTTTATAATATTGTTTAATGTGCTTTATCTAGAATAACAATGAAATTGATAATTGTAGTCTTTCTTTTATGTTCATTTTTCTTATTCCTGGTAAAGTAGTGGACAGTACATGTCCAAATACCCTGGACTTTCCTGACAACCATATTACATACGAATCTGTATAGGGTCTACCATTTTCGTAATGTAATCGAATTTAATGCGCGAATGTTTGTGAAGCTCCTCCATACGAATGATTTCATTCACCTGTTTCGTTCTATTGTACTTCAATAGTCAGAATGTGAATTGCATGCACTAATTGTTGCTAGGTAGGACAAATATTATGGCTTGTCCTACCTAGCAACACGTAACGTATGCAATATGCAATTCGCATTATAACTATTGGAATGCGTTTATTCGTAACATGTGAATTAAATAAGTGGTCCTCCCTCCTGTCTTAGATAGTTAATGATGTCAGTAACCAGGTTACTGAACATGATTATTTTGCGAAGACGGTTCGTTTGAGAGGTTAGCAAAATCATATTCCTTTCTTTAAAATCATCAGTTGGCCTGAAGTCTTGTTAAATGTTTTCGGCTAAGTCTTGATTGAATGCATGAAGACAATGATTGTTGTTAGCTATCGCACTCTGGTATGCGGAACTGCGACAATGGCTTAATTTATTAGAAGGAGAACATAGTGGATTTCACATGACAATATTATGTTTACCTTCGTAGATGCATGTATGCCATCACCGTGCCAGAATGATGGTACCTGCTTTCGAGCTGGTACGGAGGGCTATCATTGTAACTGTGCAGGTGGTTTCACTGGAAAAGACTGCTCTGGTAAGATTTTTTTAAACAATTTCACAATCTTGTCACCGTCTTTCGTTTTAAGAAGTTACAGTACGACCATGGGAATACGCCAACCAATTTGAACAAAAATAATAGATTCAAATTAGTCGGCAGTAAATCTTTTGTCAAATCAATTTTTCTATGTTTGATTAGGGGGTGGGGGGGGGGGGCTGTCTTCTCCTGATACCCCTTAGGCAAACGTTAGTGGCTCTTGGTATATACGTATATCAACTTAGTTTGCAAGTATAACAGGTGATCTAATTTCAAATATAGACATGAATGAACAACTCCTGTAAACAAAGTTAAAGAATGCTTACAAAATACACATAAACAAAGTATTTGTGGTCTGGTCTCCCCCATTATTTTGGCCTAACCCAATCTGGAAATATACAATACGAAAACGAATGGTGTAAATAATAATCCTTCATGATAATCCTTGATGTCCTTGCTTTGATAATGGTGTACTCTCGTAAACAGTTCTCAATGCAATTCAAAAATCCCTCAAACCTAAGAGTGGGACTAGAAAATAGAGGGGTAGTTCATTTGAGCAGACAATTACTTAGAGGTAACATCCCCCATCAATCCAATAACAGTATTCAATCTTACTCATACATTATTTGAATCCATGTCTAAACTAATATGATTTTTTTTCCTATGTTGTCTTCCTCGTATACCCCTACGTCCAGACCAAGCGCCATGCGCAGATGAGGTTCTAACATGTGGCGTCAACCACAAACAATGTTTACTCAGCGGGGCGAACGAGAACTCGTTTGTTTGTGTGTGTTTGGACGGTACCTTTTCAGTCAATGCACCGTGCGATGGTTCGACCATGGCGCCTCCTACCACTTTACTACCAACAACTTTACTACCAACAACAGAAATGGGTAAGTGACGGGGGACACCGATGCACCTTATTAATCTCAGTAATACCGCCAAAACCGACTCCAACCGAACAATATGTTGGCTATTCGGAGTAATGCGATTCTGTTTCCGGTCTCGTGTCTGTCTTGTCGGAGTGGCTGAGGCAAATATACCCCAGTCACATCGCTATGGCTCTAAATCGACTGATTACCGACCGATTTCTCGACCTTTCGGTGGTTATATAAGCTTTGTTCAGTTTATTGTCTGTCTATTGACCATCTCGTTGGTGTGACTTGGTATAATAGGTAACCAAGGTTATCTAACTATTGTTACCTTTTCTTTCTTATTAATAATAACTTTTTCAAAATAACACTCTACAAAAGTTTCAGTAATAGTGAGGCCTTATGCGAGATTAGAAGAAATGCAATCCTTCCTCTATGTATTAAATATAATTGTCATTCAAAACATAGTTCGCTTTTGTTCTTTTCAACCTCCATAATTTTCTTTAATAATAATGACATAGAAGTAACTTGTAACGATATAATAAGGTATATTTGCTTGTGTTATTATTATTTTTTAATGTCTGTTGTAGTCACTACTTATTTGTGAAATTATTTTTATTTTTACATAAATGCTATCCATCTAATATTTTGATAGACATTACACACCTGTAGTCAATGCAATTCTGGTTAGTGTTAGTATCCTTTTAATATATCGAATTTGGAATAACATGGTGCAGTCTCTTCTTTTGATTCAATTATGTAGTGAAAATATGTAAACAATAATGTATAATTGATATTATTGGACTAATATATATCTACAATGACAGGCATAATGTTAGCAACAATAAATATATTTAATTCATCAGCAGTTAACTTTCATTCATATTCTTTCTCCATTGCACCTGTTACAATCTTCCATTAACCCCTATTCCTTCTTTACCTCTTTTCTATCCCTTTCCGCACCCTTTCCGTACATATTCCCCACCCATTCCGTACCTATTCCCCACCCATTTCCTACCTATTCCCCACCCATCTCGTACCTATTCCCCACCCGTTCCCCACCCGTTCCTTACCCGTATCTGAAATAATAGTTCACCCATGTACCTCTAGCCCGTGTCAAAATGGCGGAATGTGTCACCTTAACTCTGCTGACGAAGTTCAGTGTTTCTGCACGGCTGGATATACCGGTACTAGATGTGAAATAGAACCAGGTAAATAAACACTAATGATGCAAAGAAGCATCCTTGGGGAACTTCTCTCTCATCATAGAAATCGAATTGTCTATCGGCTATCGCCAAGTTCCCTTTGAGCGAGTCAAAATCTGATGTAGATTTTTGAAATCGAACCATGAACTGAGAGGTAGGATAGTGACATTTTAACCAATTTCCTACTTATTTGCATCCAACTTAACAAGCTCTTGACTTTGATGAAATACAATTTGGCAGGGCTTGCGAATAGATCAACATTTATTTTGCGAATATAATTTTTCCACTTTTAGTCACTAATTTTTAGTTCTTTTCTCATGATGTAATCAAATACGAAATAAATCTGCAGAGTAACCTCATCGGTTTTATAAATTACGATAACTTCGTCTTTATCTGAATAAAATCTTTCTCGTTATGGCCCCCCACTTCCCCTTTTTACACAGCACGTTTAAGTTCTGGGTGATTAATAATGTATCAAACAACTAACAATCTGTTTCATACTTCGTCTATTCAAATCATATTTTTCACTGTTCGTTGAGGAAATACCATTAAAACTATTGAAAAAATATAAAACGTCAAACATTAAGGCCCGTATTCACAAAGGAGGTTTGTCGACAAACCTAGATTTATGTGCGTCATAATTATAATGCGTTTCGACGTGTTTTTACAGACCAAGGTTTGTAAAGACGCGTCAAAACGCGTCATATGACGCACATAAACCTAGGTTTGTCGACAAACCTCCCTTGTGAATTCGGGCCTAAATGGATGCTTTTTTTCCAACAAATGTCTCTCATGTATTTTTTCTGTAATTTCTCTCTCTCTCAGATCCATGCAGAACGGGACCATGCCAAAATGGTGGTGTGTGTATTAAAGAAGATGCTTCTTCATACACATGTGAATGTCGGACCATATACACAGGTCCACAATGCCAGTACACAGGTAAGATCCATCTTAGGAAAGAAAGATGATGCATGAAATCCGTCACAATGAAAGAGAATAGTGAACTGAAGTGGACAATTATGAAACATATACGGCAGACATCTAACCAATGGTTCATAAAATGATGTGGGGAGAGTGACATCTTCACTTATCATTAACTATATAGAATGCATATCGGAGAGTATATGTAAGGCTTATATTTGTTCGTTTGTTAAATTAGTATAATGTTATGACAAAGCAGTCATTCTTTCTCTTTCCTTCCCTCATATAAATTATGCTTAATATCCCTTCTTTTCTTTTTTTTGAGCGCATAAGGACTTAAATTTATCTTTGTGATATGCACTATATAAGAATAGTTTATTATTATTATTAAATTATTTAGAGAATGTAATTTAAACTTTACACAAGCTTAAAGACAAATTGCGTCCTGATCGAGACAGTTATCAAGTCACTAGCTAAAGTTTAAAGATATCAATATAATATGTTTGATTACGGCTTATCCCATTCTCTTAATTCTGTTTGTCATATCTAGTCGGTTGTGCCTCAATTCCATGTCAAAACAACGGAGTATGTACCAGTACAGGGATCTATGGACAGGGATACGCATGCGATTGTTCTACCATGTATTCTGGTACCGATTGTGAAATAGGTAAGCTTGGGGCGCGTCCAGGGGGTCGCGGGTATCCCAACCCCTCTTTTCTTTTTCAATTTTGCTTGTAAAAGGTTAGGGAAATTTTAACCACCTCCCCCTTTTTTTCCCTCAACAATATTGCACTTCCCTGTAAGGAGACATTCTTCATCAAAATACTTTACTTTTCTTCCAATACAAAGACATATTATCGTAAACTTAAATTATCATTTTTTTCTCTCCTTTTATTTTTTCATTGGTAATCTCATACTTGAGATTCAATGTTGCTGAACGTTTTGGTTTCTAAGCATGTCTCTTTTTCAGCAAAAGTTAGATTCATAATTGAGCTGACTCTGAACAAACAACAACAACAACTTCTGTATCAAAGATTGAAATTCTACATACATACTTACTTGCTTTTTGGAAATGAATAAGGTCATCAGATGCTATTATTCTTCAAGGTTTTGTCTAAAAAAGACACTTTTCACATCATGTAAAGATAATGATTAAAATATGACTCTTTACCATTAAAGTATTTTGTGTCTGATGCAATTTAGCGGCAAAGCATCGCTCCGTTATATAAAGAGTTGCAAGTGATGTGAGTAAATCACAGCAATTACAAATTTGCAAACCTTGTGATCATACTTGACTTAGAGTTTATGGACATTGCATTTCTCTTTAATTGCAACTAATGTGGAATGGCAGTGTTCTCCATTTTAAAATCTTTATTTAACCGGCCCTTCCCAGGTCTTTTATATTAGCTTGGCAGCTTACTGATAACATTTTGATACCATGATTTCTTTTACAGAGGTGGACCCCTGTTTGTCTCAGCCGTGTATGAATGGAGGATATTGCAGCAGACGAGGTGATATGACAGGATACGTATGCACCTGTTATGATGGATACACAGGTAACAGGTGCGAGACTCCTCCACCACCTACAACCATGCCACCACCTACAACACCATCGCAGCCTACCACACAGCCACCAACAACCACACCACCACAGCCTACCACACCACCACCACCACAAACCACACCACCAGTGGTTACTACTACACTAGGTGAGAAGAAAACACATTGTCCTTTCTCTCCCTCCCATTTTCTCCGTCGATAACGGAGAAATATTACCAGTATACCTTTCTAATCGCATTAATATACATCAATCTCTTTCCCTTTCCTTCCTTTCCTTTTTTTCTCCTTTTTTTTCTACCTCTTTTTCTTTTTCCCTTTCTTTCCATCTCTCTTTATTTTTTTCTAGAAAGACATTAGTAATAACAAGCAAAATTCTGTTTATTTCATGTCTGTATTAAATAATAATTCAATAACTTATATTTCTACTAAAGTAAAATGACTGTTTCAACTGCTACTCTTGCATAATAATTCTTGTAGAAAAATCTCTTCAATAAATATTGCTGTACCGTCAAAATTACTTTAAATTGAAAATAAGAATAATAGAGTATTATTACACTCAATATTGGTAGCAGTGGCACTGTTCTTACAATGATTGTGCGGACACGATTTTCTTCACGACTCCCTTGTTTACTGAAGGGGATATTCTGATGACTCATATCTCCATCTTATTCCTGTAGGTTCTGGAGAATGTAGCCAAAGCTGTTTGAATGATGGAAGCTGTGTTGATGGTTCGTGTGTATGCATCACTGGATTCAGTGGTCCTCGATGTGAACAAGGTATGGCTGAAGTCATAGACTAGTCGTTAAAACTCATTTTACCCGGGCCCCAGTCACATTGCCAAATTGACTCCAAACCATCTCCACAGACTCCTTACATGTACCCATTAATTCTATTTGGGTTAATACAATTTTTGTGTTCATTACGCAGTCAGATTGATATCGGTCTCGTCGGTGTGACTGCAGTATCTTTATTATCACATGGTTCTCCATGGTTTAATGTATTCGCAGAACATATCTTCAACTAAATTATCAGTTTATCAAGGATCTACAATGGTGTTTATGAACTAGACTTCAAATATTTTCACACGCATTGAATACTTGTATTTAATAAAATGTATTAAATGAAATCTCTTGAAGAGTTCCATACTAATTAATAGCAATTTCAAAGTGTAAGTTTATATGTGAGTTCTTCTTTCTTTGCGGGTGTTTTAAAAGTTAACTGGCATCATGTTATAACTTTCAAATATTGCTTTTCCATTAGACGGGCGACCATTCTTCACCAACTGCCCCGAGGATGAAACCTTGACCTTCGTATTGGACGAAGGAACCAATGTAGCCTCCGTTGATTTGGATCCCATCACAGCAAGGAACTTCAACCAGGAGACCCTCGACGTCGTCTTCATCGTCGGACCTGACCTGAACACTGTCACTAGTCTTGAGTTCTCTGAGGCGTATGCTGAAGGTCAGGTCGTGGTGGCCCAGGCCCAGGATCAGAATGGTAGACGGAACTGCAGCTTTGTGATCAGGCTACAGGGTGAGAAGCTTGGTGGTACTCAATATACAGTCAAACAAAAAGTGGTCTTTGTAGACAGGTTTCTTTAGTACATGTTTCAATGAGAAACCATGTTCAAGGAAAACAAAAATTGTGGTCCTTGTAGACAGGTGGTCACTAAAGCAGGTTTGACTGTACTATAGGTTGTGAGAGTGAGAATATTTCTGTTAGTGGTGTATCCATCAAAGAGGGCAGAGCATACCCAAAATGAATCAAACCTACAATTGAGTAACCTGGTCTTAGGTCTTCAGTATGCCTCAATTTGAAGTAACTTGGCTTAATGTTTACCCCTTTTGGAAGCATGCACCATACAGACCTCTCTAAATACTCGAGTTCCTACATTTTTGCCCCAGCTAACCCAGTTTTTGTGAAATTGAACAAAGACCACAAAGTAGAGGTCCTGAGGAATCGGGTCATACATTGTTGTTTTCTGCAGCTCCTAAAGTTTCCAGGTTCTAAGTTTATTCTTTCTGTGACGAAGTAGTCGTACTGTGATATTGATAGACAAGGAAGTTTATGTTACCAGTACTTTCTATTATTATCTTTATGTTTATTGTGTATTCTACGAAACAAAAAACCTTTGAACTAACCAAAATGTTGTCTTCCCTTTCCCCCCATCACCAGATAATCAAACGCCAGAGATCACCTGTCCAGAAGACATCGTAGAGATCAGTACATCCTCTAGTCAACAAATCACATGGCCGGATGCTGAGGTCGAAGACAACGCTGACCCTTCACCCGTAGTGACCTACATACCTACCCAAGGGTCGATGTTTGATACTACAGGAGAGACGGTGTCAATCATTGCCCGGGCAACGGACACATCGTCCAACTACAAGGAGTGTATCTTTAGGGTCACTGTGCACATGAGAGGTAGGATTAACAACTGAAGTGATTCTAAAGAGAATTGTTATATTTTATCCCATGGAATAATCAAAGCTAACATACATTCCACAAAACAAAGTAAAAAGACAAAGTAATACATCTAAATTTTGCCTGTAGAGGTCAGATTTGACTTCATTCCAAGTCTTTGTGGGAAGGATGATAATATGATTGATGACAATGGTCTAGAATCCCTCTGATATTACTCCGTAGTTTTGACAATATATCTCTAATTTAGAGTTACTCAAGGTGTGGTAGGCCTACAAGTAAAAATGTTCTTAATGTATTAAATATAACCATCAATTGCTCTGCTACCTAGAAAGTATTTATCATTATAACTACTTACACATCCATGCCAACAAAGTTATTCAAGATGTTATTACAGGTTATTCAACTTTGACAACATGAATGTACCATATAATAAATCACCCTTACCAGGTCATTTTCAAGTATGTGAAAAAATTGATATGTACCGATTTATGCTTTTTGAAACTGTGACATATTATTAAAGCTTACATCTAAAAGTATTCAACCAATGCCCAAATTCAACCAATCCCACCTTTTATTCTTGAGTTACAAACAAATTAAACCCTTCAAAATTACATGGGTATGAATAATCAAGCTGTTAACTGTATCTAACAGAAAAAATGCTTGTCATAATCACATTTCTCAACTCTTTCTCAATCTAGACTTTGACTGCGATCCCTTTCTAACTGTTGAGAATGCTGAAGTATCATGTGATAACGATGCCAATGGACGAGAATGCCATGTGTTATGCAATACAGGGTTCGTCAAGACAGTGGCCAATGACATCAGATATACCTGTATAGCAGACAGTGAGGCCTCATTCTGGGACCCTTCACCTCGAAGTATATGTGCAGGTAAGTTGGGTTGTTTCTTGCTCTGTTCTCTACCCATATATGACTTGTTCCATCTGTCTTATTCTTTCTCTCTCTCTCTCTCTGTTCTTTCCTTTTCTTTAGCCCTTGCCCTCTTCTCCTTTCCTTCTCACTACAATCCTGCTCTCACTCTTTCTCACTCTTTCTCTCTCTATCTCTCACTGTTCTCTTCTTTCATTCTCCTTTCCCTCTATAAGTTTATCTCTTTTTCTCATACCTTCTCTCTTTCTCTCCCCCTCTTTTCTTTCCTCTTTCTCTCAACTAGAATCACAATTTTGTTCAGAAGTGTTTTTTTCAAGAGCTTCCTCATTGACTATATGCTTACAAGCCTTAATACTGATTAATTTAATCAGTTTGATACGACTTTTCAATGTTTTTAACAATTAAATGTATTAATAGTGATGACAAACTTCTGTAGGTTAAATTATTAAATTTGATACAGAAACAACAAATTTTCATCCCAGTCAGCTCAAATGTGAATCGACTTTGAAATGACTTGAGTCATGTGCATATTAAAAAAAATACTGCCTCCTTTAGTCTTAAGAAATTGGGTGCCACTATTTCTTGGTTGAATTCTATATGTGAAAAAACTGGTATATATTCAGAAGGCCCCCAAAAGAAATATACATTTAAGTAAAATATCAAAACCTTAATTTGATGATCATGTTGCCATACGATTTTCTAATGAATGAATCTCTTTCTCCTTTATGTCACCAGAAGCCGAAACTGGGAATGGAATCACCAAGACGACTAGCATATCCTTCCCTCTCCAGTCAGCCTCCTGCCCGCAAGAGACACCAAACTTCACATCATCCATCGCCACCAACATCACCAGCACCCTAGATACGTTCAACCTCTGCTCCGTGGGACCAGCATCCGCCTGCGGGGAAGGCAGTGTCAGCACAGCATGTACCACAAACACCGCGCGACGCAGGAGAAGCAGTGAAGTTATCCTCTCACGAAGGAGAAGAGATAACAGCGTCCTCTTGGTTGATATCAGTGTTTATTCTCCGGTTGACAGCAATTCCGATCGGGGCGAGATAGAGGAAGATATTGATCAGGTGACGGATGGTATTGTGGATGTGGCAAACAATGAAGGATTTGAGCTGACAGTTAATGGTGAGGTCGTCAACAACGTCCAATCAGGGACGAGAGTACCGCAGGAGTTTCAGTGGTCATGTGACAGTGGTATGGTATCTTCAAGTTCAGGATGTGGTGAGTTAATAATTAATGAGAGTTTGAAAAAGGATAGGAACTATTCAAAAATGTGAAAACAGAACAGCAAATCTTTGAACATAGAGAACATCAGCACTTTTCTCTGTTGTTCTTATTTTTATTCTCATTCTGGTACCCGATAGACCTCATGTAGATCTTGTGCCATCTTTTATATGAATGACTAAGTATTATTAATCATTTCTTTATATTTACTGTTGTATTTATATATAAGCACTTTCTAACATATGATCAAGAGTTCGAGACTCATTAAAAAATATATAAATTGTTATGGTTTAAAACTCTGTTCACTCTAGATCTTTTCAAAAAGCATATAATCTATCTAATGCATGTTCAGTCATATCACTTTTACTTGCTGACCGTTATACAAACTTTGTTGCTTACAACCATATAAGTTTAGAGTACAGGTTATCATAGATACATAATATTCTTTAAACTTCTTGTCAAATGGATAATAATGTTAACAAATTGAATGAATGGCATAAAACTAAAGCAGCAATCTTTGTATTGTTCCCTTTCACAGTCCCTTGCCAACCTGGTACCTATTATGATGAGAGCAAAAACGTCTGCTCCTTCTGTTCCAGTGGAACCTACCAAGATCAAACCAAACAGACCTCCTGTCAGCAATGCCCTGGTGACTCTTTCACTGATGCTACTGGATCTGTCTTAGCTGACTGTGAGTATTTCGTTATTCTGCAAACAAACTTAATGGTTCCTTTAAAGGTCATCTGTACTACTATGGCTATGAGGGATTAGACCACCCAGGAAGGTCACTGACAGGTGGCTATCTCATCAACTCAGCCCTCAATTAACATTAAAAAAAGAGGATCAGGCATTGTTTTCTATATAGAGAGAGCAAGAAGCTACAATTTGAAGTAGTACAGTGGGCCTTTAAAGTGAAGGGGGTAAAAATTTGTATCAAACGTTATTGAATAAGGGATATACAGTAAAACCTATGGCCCGTATTCTAACTTGTCTAACTTAGTCATGTTTAAAGTTAAACAACAATTCAGTTAAACAGGAGTAATTAGACCCAAATTCAGAATACAGGCCTATGGGTTCAGAATCTATCATAAACAAGCAAAACATCCTTTGTGGAAAAAGTATAAAATTAATTGGAAACTTTCCATGTGCGGACTGAAGAATGCTATCCAAGGACATTTTTTGAATAAATGTATTCAGAATTCCTTAAAAACAGCCTGGTAACTCGTAATAGTACGTGTATCTTTGTCTTTTATACATTTTCCTAAAGTGATGATGTCTATTAAGACTAATTGGTTCAGTACAGTGTAATTTCAGTTACAAAATCATTCATCAGTTCAAGGCTCATTTTCTATTGGAAAGAAAGATTTATATTTACCACAAAATAATGGACACTCTCTGTAGGACACCTTTTTAATGTAACTGTGTAAAGTAACAATTTCCTTTAAGTGAATCACTTAACCAAAGGATGCCACCCAATATTTCTTTGACTTTCTAGGTTTTGATCCATCAGCTTTTCAACTGACACAAACACAGTGGATCCTGGTGTACATCGGATGCAGTCTAGCTGGAGCATTCATCCTCCTCATCCTCGTCACATTCATCATCTGCTGTTGCCGTAGCAAAGAGGAGACACCGAGAAAGGGCAAGGATGCCACCGATCATCTCACCTACCTCAACAGTGCGTTTGAAGACGACGCTATAAACAACGATATGCATTACACTAATACATTAACAAGGAATGGGTCAACACTACCGATGAATGGGCACAGGAGCAATGGTAATGGTCCCAGAGGAGGGGATAACAGATTGATTGAGATTCCTAGTGATCCTGAAGTCCTCTATGCTGAAGTTCCTGTGACATCTTTCAATGCGAAGGGATACAATGACTTTAACAGTAGGTTGTCAACGAATGGACGAGCAAATGGACATGTTAACAGTGTGTCAGCGACTATTGATATGGATACCATTCCCCGCCCTCCCACTCTAGGTGCCCCTCCTCCACCTCCTCCGCCCCCTCCAGCAGAAGATAAACCCAAGCGTATCCTGACAGAAGATGAACTTCCACCCCCTCCACCAAACAACCATCATTTCAACGGTATGCCGGGGGATTCAGCTCCCTCTGGACCCCCTCCTCCACCCCCAAAGGTTCCTGGTGGCCCAACTCATTCACCACAACTTCGTGGAGGCCCCCCTCCACCACCACCAAAACTTCCTGGTGGCCCCCCTCCACCACCCAACGTTCCTGGAGGAGTTCCTGGAGGAGTTCCTCCCCCTCCACCCCCACCCCCTCTCCCTTCAATGAATAGCAACAACAACTCTTACACCAGCTCCCCATCCGGAAGTACAACAAGTGGAAGAAGTGATAGGAGGGCTAGGTTTTTGCTGTGAGCAAGTACGGCAAAGCTAATTAATGTGAAGAGATGACTTTGAGAAACAATGCTTGATGTACATTACAAGTAGCACAGCCTTGCATCTATAATACAAGAATCGATCATCTTGCTACAAAGATAACTGAACTTGTTAACTTTAAATACATGTAACATGTCCTGCAGAATATGCTACAGCGGTTAGTTGTTTGAGCACGTCAGCCCATTCCTGTTGTACTTTAATGGAATTGCGATAAAAGTTTAACTTTGTCAAATTGCAGAAAAGGCTTTCGATCGAAATGCAGCCAAATAAGAGAACAGAACCCCTCTTTTCATTGTCAAAATGAAAATACTGGATTTCAGTGTTTCTTCCCATGATTATATCCTCCAGAATGCACTATACTTCCACTTCCTATGTATCTTTCTGTTTATTTGATATTCATACAGAATCAATGGGCTTTCATTAAAAAGGCAATTACAAGCAATGTTAATACACATACAGCTAAAAATGTATACATTTTTGCAGGTGCTAAAATGTGTTATGAACGTATTTTATGTTCCTTTCTTTACACTTTTGTATTAGGTGATGGTCTTCATCGACATGCTCATGTTACATATATATATTTTGACAGTTGTGTACAAAGGCCCTTTATCTGCCCATGCACAGATAGTATCTCCTAAGCGGCTTATTGTTCATGTATTAGGGATTAATGCAAATTGTTTACTAAATTAAACAATAAAAACGAATTTACAAAATGATTTGTATTCCTTCGTGAAAAAGATGTGCTTTTCTGCTTTTGTAGAGTATTATAACACAGCATATCTTAATTTGATTTGATTTTATACTTTGCAATAGAATTAAAAGTATTTGATTTAGAAACCAAGGCTCAGTAATGATTGTCGCAATGGACTGCTGGATACAGATTTGTCTTTCATTTTGATATTATTTGATAAGAAGTCTTGGGTAAAATATTTATGTCATGTTTTTAAAATTTATTTTTTATAAAACTAGGGGTCATCAACCAAACTTATAAACTAATCAAGAAGAAAGAAGACTGGTTTAAGTCTGCTTATTTTGCAGGTTTCATGTTTATCTATTATGTTTAAGTTTTTACCAAAATCAAGAATATATTCAAATTTTTGTTTTGTTTTATTTTTGCTGAAAAAAAGACCAATGTTCAATTCAATTCAATTCGTTTTCAAAATACGAAGAGTAAGTCTTTTGTTTTCAGATTAAAAATGCACTTTAATTTTGAGCTGGTCTCGGAAATTAAGAGATACTTGATCAATGTAATGAAGCATGTTTTTACGAAATGTGGAAGTAAATAACCTGTACTATAATGATACCAAAATTCAAATAATTAACTATAAATCAATGTATAAACTGTCAATTTGCAAAGATATGCCAAAGTACTCTTTTCCCAACTTTTGTATGATCCTTGAATGCAGGTTTGTGATTTGGTTATGAACAATGACATGTTCTTTTCATTTGTATGACATATGCACATTAGCCATGTAAATATATAGAGTATACCGGTATATCATGGTGCAAATCTTCTTTTTCCTACAATTGTACAATGTTTTGCTTTATAGCTAAAGTACTGGTGCATGGGAAAATGTTAATAGCTTTTTGATAATTTTGTCTCAAGTTTGTATATTTTGAAACATGTATTCCTTTATCGTATCACTTCTGTTACACGTCTTTCATGAACTATATCGCCTCACTGCTTTGTAAATGTTATACAATAGTACCAGTACTTGTATTTGGTCAGTACTGACTGTGAGTTACTGAAAAGGTTAGTCATATAAGAAGAGTATTTGGGGAGAATAATTAGAGAAAATAAATTATGCATTAATTCTTGTAATTGATGGAAAATACATTTTTTGTGTATGTGTATAGCAGTATACATGCACAGAGGGAGTTATTAGGCAAGGCCTTTGATTCAACTTGTATGCACATTATCAACATCATATTTTTGATTTGATTTGATTTTGATTTTGATTTGATTTATTTATTTTCCACTCAAATATCCACAAATTAAATGACATATATAAACCATACAGTAATACAATATATAATAGAACAAATGAATTATATATTGAAGAAAAAATGATTGTATACATAACTCAGTTGCCTTTACTTATAAATGAGATAAGCTTATTAATCTTTAATTATCAAAAGTAAATTATGCGTCAATATCACTGTGCCTACACTTCCACTCTGTTTGATTTAAAGAATTGGTGAGCAATTATGGACAATTTTTGAAACATTGATTTGCAACAAGAGTAGAGTGGGTTGTTAATATATAAGACAACTTTTGGATTTTCCTTTACCTTACAAGTTATTTCTTACTAAAGATATGCATTCTATAAATTGTATTTCAAGACAAAGCAATTAAACAGACAAAAATAATATTGCTATTTTTCAATCACTATAATTATGTATCGTTATGTATTTTCAAAGTGGGCATTAAGTGCTTCATAGTTGCTATACATTTTCTTCTTCTTCATATTTAATGTATTCATTTTTACTTTTGGTATTCAGTCATTTATGTTGCACTTGTATACTTTTGTAGTATTTTTATACAAATTGTCTGCTAGTAATGTATGACAAAAATGTACAGAATGAATGATTGACAAGTCTCTATAGGCAGCAGAAAACTATTTAGGCATCTCTCGAGTCAATAATGTTAAACAAAGGATTGTTTATATTGATATTTATGAATAAAAGGTAGACACCAAAGTAAAATGATGTTTTGAAGTTTTCTTTATTTTGATTGTGATCTTACCCCATATCCAATTGATCAACATTTTGATTTCATTTTGAATTTCACAATATGAACTTACCAGCCAGAGTATTCCATTTTGATACTCTATCAGTTCAAGGTACACAATTCAACTTCTTCAAATAAAATAGATTAATTTTACACTGGAGACAGTTAAATAATATTGTATCAGTTGGTATATTTATCCCATTAAAGATATTTTTTAATACAGTGTGGCACGGGAAGATTATTTGTGTGGCATATAAAGAACTAACTCAAACAGCATCAATATTTCTTCAGTATCGTATTAGAATATCTTGATTAAAATTAAAGCCCCACTGCACTACTTATGGCGGCTTGCGCCCTCTATATATCAAACGATTCCTAAGCGGTGACCGTTGGTCCCCCATGGTCCCCTTTTTCCTATGTTGAATTGAGAGCTGATATGATGAGATAACCACCTGTCAGTGACCATGCAGGGAAGTCTAATCCCTTGTGGCCAAACTAATGCAGATAGGCTTTAAATGCTCAATACCATATACACTTATTAATTCTAAAAATGTATGGGGAAACCAAGCAAGTACTTTCTCCCCCCCCAAAAAAAATAAAAAATAAAATAAATAAAAATTTTAAAAAAAAATTTAAAAAAAAATATATATATATATAATGATAATAATAAAAAATAAATATGTAATCAATTTACTCCAGATTAATGACTTCCATTGTTGTCTCCCATCTCTGCCCCCTTCCCCTTCTTTTTCTTAATCCTCCTGTAACGTTGAAGTGTCGTTCTCCTTTAGGAGTTCCAGCTGAGCATCCAACTGCTCTGCTTCTTGACTCCACTGCCAGTTTCTAAGCTGAGCTTCTTTCAGTTGACATTTAAGACGTGTCAACTGGGCCTTGTTACGCTTCTGGAAAACAAAAATGGATTTTAAAAAAATATGAACATCGATGTCACAATCTGCACAAAACATGTTATATTTTCATGTTTTTGTGATTTAATAAAAAACTCCAATTTATGTTTTTATAACAACAATGTTAATATATAGCTATGCTGGGTATACATAAAACTAGTTGGATCAATTTAACTGGAACGTAATGTATTCAATCTTGTCAGAATCCACTAATGTCCCTCAGCTTGTAAATTCAGATTGCTTTTTACGATAAGGTTCATCAAAAGAGATAAACAAATAAATCATGGCCTTCCACCTCCACCTATATTGGATTTTAAAAAACTGATAATGAAACAAAGTATTTGAAGATGAGCACCTGCAATACGTCAATGTCTTGTTGGATTCCAGCTTGCTTGGAGGTTTCTTTTGATACCTGTAAATGATAGTACGAATATTTAATCATGAACAAATATTTTCTTATCCTGGCCATGGTCAAAGAATTGAAGTTAATAACAATTTAATTATCTCAAAATATGCATTTTATCTATTTAGAGAACAGTTGCAAGTTTCAAATCATTTGCAGTCATGACTTAATTCGTTATTACTAGTACATGCCGATAATACTCACAGTCCAATTTTTGTTACAACATCCATGGTACATTTTTCCTAACAGTCAACATTATAAACTCTTAAATAACAAGCTTAGTTGAGCATGTGACCTTTACTTACTGGGTGCAAGCTGAAATTTAAACAAAATCATAAACATCTTATTCTGTTTGTATGTACCGGTAACCAAAAAAATTGATTCAAATTCAGATTGATTCAAATTGTTATGCATATAAAATTGCAATTAATTTAAAAAATGTTCAAGAATCGCTCTCTTTCTTTTCACTTTCTCTTACAGTTTCTTATTTTATTTTCATTATAGATAACTGCTACATAATCACCTCTTGTTGCAGCTTATTTAGCTTCTGTTGCAGCTCAGTTTTGATGATCTGTTGTTGATGTAGCTCTCCCTCCAGTCTACGTTTGGCTAATAGCTCTCCACTCTCTGGGTCCATCTCCACCTCTGCTTTCAACTCAGCTCCTGTCAAATTTGTTATCAGTAAAACATCACTTATCCAATCCAATCCATCATTGAGTTGACCAGTTGAGCTTTTCATTTAAAAGTAAACCTTTGTGAGCTATCAAACTAATTACTCCCATCTGTGTGTGATAGCTATCTAACAATAACAAGTGTTCCAGTGGGATGTCAATGCTACTTGTACTTATGATGGTTTCGTGAAGCCCATGCAGGGCCCTATTTCACAAAACTTGTCATCAGTGATAAATGACAGTTTTTGTTATAAGCTAGTGAAATCCTTGCTTCTGATTGGTTATCAACAGATTTTTCACTGGTTTTTGTCATTTGTGATAGAAAAAAGGCTTCGTGAAATGGTTCCCTGAAGACCAGCCTACTGACTGATTTATACTCAATCCTCGAAGAGCAGACAAACGTTACACTGCCCTCTTTCAGTAACACGTGACCAATGTGATGCCCTCTTCCTATTATCAAGAAGCAATACTTTGGAGATTAACTGAAAGGGAGACTTTATCAAATTTCACCATTTGGTTTGCCAGACCTACATATTACTAGTCATATCACCCAATGATCTCTTCACAAAATTGATGACGTCTGAAGTAATTAAGGTTTCACGATGTGACTCCCATGTGACAGTGCATTGTACTCTGTGTTGAAAATGTTTGGCCAATATAGAGAGGCCAAACCTGAATCAACCAAGAAAATGGTAAACAACATTAGAAGAAAAATGTGATTTCTGTTTACCACGGCAGTTTTCATTTTGTTTTCATTTAGGATGTATATCCTATAATGAGACTCCAAGGTTTTAAGTCCAATTCTATGAAATATTCTATTTGGAATCTGACTTTCTGTTGAGTGTAGATAATTGCATTAAACTTTTAGCCCCTACTATATTTTCACATGATTTGCCAGCAAATCATGTCAATATTAGGTTTAATGCGACCCTCTTTGATGTTTGTAAACAGGAACTTAAACTGTCATCCCTCTGGTATTTATGGCTTTAGAATGATCAATTGAGCAGACAATTATCAATGATTGTTGTAAGAGTGGACATGATATAAACATTCATATTAACTTATAAAGAGGTGACAGTGGAAAAGAAAGGGACTGAAAGATGAAACAACATTAGGAATCAACCAATTTGGAAGTGCAATGGGTTATATGATTGTACCACAGTTCTTGGAAACAAAAATGGATACAAGAAGTCTTCATTTCAAATCTCAGGAATCCTGAGTCCATTATTATTTTGACAAACTTCCTTGGATAAAACTGAAAGCAATTAGTTCCCTGGGCTGCGTTTTATGAAACCGTTTTAACTACAAGTTTGCCGTCAACCCATTGTAACATGTGTATTCAATTTAACACCTGTTTCAATGGGATGATGGGGAACTTGTACTTATGATGGTTTTGTGAAACGATGCACAGGTCTGTAACCCCTCAAGTTGCAACCAATACATCCTGTTTTCAAAATGGGAAACCTATCTGTTCTTAATGTTTTGGGGAGTGTAAATTCTATGTATTCTACCATAAGGAGATTCCAATAGTATATAATGTTAGCCATAGGAAAGTATTGACTGACAGTGTTTTATAAATTTGTGCTGTTACCCACTTTATTTATGATCCCTTTTTTTGGGGGGGGGGGGGGGGGTCAGTACCCTAATCTGGAATGCCTGATGAAAGTCATGGGTCAAGAAAATTAAGAACCACTGCTCTAATCACTGAGCAATATTGTCACTAGAAATATACTTGCTTTCTTACAGAACTTCCAAAGTTTTAAAGAAAAATAGGTCTTCTGAATTCACAAAGTCCTGTTGTTTTATAAACATCCATGACGTATTGATGGAAGCCATTCAATCAATTGCCATCTCTCACTTTTCTTTTCCATGTCCTCCTGAACCTTAGTCTGCTCCGCAAGTTCAATCTGATGAGGAGAGTCAGCTTCTAGCTCTAGAATCGATTGACTGCGCTTGGCCATCTTGTCTTTGTACACCTGGTACATTCTAAAGGAATGAACGCAAAGAAGGGAAATATATGGAGAACTGTTAATATTACAGAGGTAGAAAATAGTTTTATTCTCAAAGGTATGTGCTGAAAAACGACAACAAAGAGCAAAGTATACATCAAAAGGCGATGTGTGTGTGTGTGCATGTGTTAGAGTTAAAAGGGAGAGGAGAACTGAAGGATGCATTTAATTGCAGTTTGTTTAAATAATTTGTTTTAAAAAGGACAAAGTAGCAAGTTACCTATTGAAAGAATAGGGGAGAGAGAGAGGGAAAAAAGAGAGAGGGAGAGAGAGAGAGAGAGAGAGAGAGAGAGAGGGAGGGGTGGGGTGGACGAGAAGAGAGTGAGAGAGAGACAGAGACAGAGCAATAGATAGGGACAGCGCATGCGCTGGTTAATTTTGTGTAGCTTAAACAAAACAATAAAGAAGGGTGCATTGAAATAATACTTGATGAAAATCATGAATTCCTTAACCTCTGCTGAAAATAAAAACATCTCCTAATATAATGATATGTATACAATGAATTTTAGGCTCTTCATATGGTGAGAAAGTGATATTTTTGTGAGGCGATCTATTGGCCCATATTGATAAACAGTGAGAAAACCTCCTTGATGTGAAAAGCATAGTTAGCCTTTCCTGTTCATCCTTCTTCCTGAACCAAGCTAAAGCTTTCTCTCACATGCTCTCCTGGTCTTTCTAACACACACCTTCATGTTCTCAGCCTTCCCCTTCTCTCTCTTTCTCTCTCTCTCTCTCTCTCTATCTCTCTTTCTCTCTCACACACACACACACACACACTTTCTTTTTTCCTGTTCTCTCTAGCTACCCTATTTCAATAACAGAAATCTTCAGATTGCTTACCCTTAATCTCCATCTCAATATAAGAGGGATTTCAAGCGGGAAAATCCTATAAACTCTTCTCACCTACACTATGCCCATGTAAGTCTCTTAATCTGTATCTCATCAATTTTTCAAGAGTGGAAAATTTGATGAAAATCATGAGTTTCTTGAGTTGATATGAGATCAATTTGACCTGAAGCAAAGTAACCTACTTAAGTAATAATTTCAAAATAAGAATGTCAAAAGTCATTATTTTTGTCACTCTCTTGCAGATTCTGAGATTGAGTTAACTACTCTTGACAGGGGATGGGGAGGGGGGGGGGGGGGCATTTCCCCCCTTTCTACACTGCTGCCCTTTAAGTCAGAATTATTTTTCTCTCCTCCGAGTCAGCCAATGATTGTGAAAAAATGATTCATTCTTCGTAGATATAGTTTACATCTTCTCAGAAAACTGCCATTCCAGCGTCTAGTGCGTGAGATTGCACAGGACTTTAAGACAGAGCTACTTTATTGATCAATCTCAAGAGTCATAGAGATGATGAATAAAGTTCTGAGAAGAATTTAGCTTTGTTTATTAAGAATAAGTCCTATTTTCACAATCATTTCATGAAAAGAAATAAGAAACAATATTCAATCCTCCAACAGATACATTTGTCTGCTGAGAGCCAGAAGGGCATTAACTCATCATCTTTACAGAGTTAACCCATTGAATACAGGAACCAGCTAGCTCCTGTATTAAGCCAATGGAGATGAGAGAATTCAGGAGTCAACAGATAAATGTCCTTATGACTCTTAGTGGACAATTCACTGACCTGCTCTCTCTCGACCCGTCTTCTTCTGCTCTTACTATCAGCTGCTTCAGACTCACATTTTCAAGAACTGTACTGTGAATAACTGTGAAAAATAAATCCAATACAATACAAGAAAATCATCACTTTGATAAGGACTATAAAAACACCTCATTTTAAAACATTTTATTTGTCGAAAGAGGATGACATACATTTCATACATCAATTGTAAATGTCAATCTGATGTGATTACTCATAATTCTAATAAACCCTGTTTTTAAATAGCATCTGCCCTGTTTTGAGTGACTGATCAAAGTGCTTGAGGGAAAAAGCCTGGGAATTGGAATGAGTTGCGATTGTATTCTTGCAATACCCTTCATCTTTTCCGGCAAAGGGAGTGTTTAAAGTGAATAAGATGTTATTGCAAACCATCATGAACAATCATAAACACATTTTCATGATTTCAAAATGAACATCATACTCAGTAAGTTTATAATGATTTATTATTTTTTTAAATATACCCCCAAAACAAAAAATATTTAGAAATGATTACCTTCTTGTAATTCTTTAGTGTGGCTCCTCTTGTTAGCATGGACCTCCTGAGCAAGACATATCTTTCTTATACACTCCCTCATCTCTGCTTTTAGGGAAACCACCTGTTGCATTGCTGGTAAACATGGATGAATAAATACTTTATCATGTTTTATATCAAACTAGCTACAGGCATGATTGGAGTTGAGAAAACAATTGAGTACAACAATAAGACTGATCACACCTGCAGATTGTTATAAACCAAATAACAAAATACATGTTGATTGAACCTTCTTCAAAATCTGGGTCGAAATTACAACAGAGCTATAAATGTTACGTTTGATAACAACCACAGTATATAAGCTACAAATGGGAAACATGAGAATTACAAGCAGCTTTTTTCCCCAGGTTTTCCCCAGCTTTTCAATACCTCTTTATGATCCCTTATGTTGAAAGATTGAATATTCATATTGTAAGATTTTCGAACTGATTAATATTAGTGTGTATCATAAATTTTTGTCAATAAACGGGAAGAAAAGACAGTTTAAAACATTTTGATTTCTAGAAATAAATCTTTGTTGCTTTTTTTCATTCTCATAAGCCTGTAATACAGATAAAAACTGTCTACAAAGCTTTTAAGAGATTGAATTTTATTATATCTAGAAAATAAAATTACAATTATATTAGGTAGCATAGAGAACAAAAATGTAAACTAAAGAGTTAGTATACTCTCTATACTTCAAGAGATTATGTAATGTACAAGGAAATAAAATCACCTCCACACTCTAGAAGGATGTACTACTCATTAAAATAATATCACAGGAAATTTTAAGAAATAAATTCCAAGACAATTCTGTAGCCTTGTGTATTGCCGCGTGCGAACAAAACAATGACCGCCTACATAATTCCAAGACAATTCTGTAGCCTTGTGTATTGCCGTGTGCGAACAAAACAATGACCGTCTACATAATTCCAACATAATTCTGTCTGGAGGCAAAACAATGTAATAGGGAATCAAGACTGCTGGTAGCTGATTTCTTACAAATGTTTGTGATCATGTTAAATTCACTTCATAGTGACCCCTTTTTTCCTTAAAGCTTGGGGGAGTTGAGCTTTTGATACATAGAAGGTATTAAGTATGCCATCTGTCTAACACTTACCTTTGAGCAACTCCTCCTACGCAGGCAGTTGAAATGGAGTCAACACATGAGCGAGAGACAGACAGAGAGAGTGAGATAGAGAGAAAGAGAGAGAGGGAGAGGAAGAGAGAGGTAGAGAGAGAAGGAGAGAGGGAGAGAGAGAGAGGGAGAGAGAGATAGAGAGAGAGAAAGAAAAGAGAGAAGGAAAGAGAGTGAGAAGGAGAGAGAGAGAGATGGAGAAGGAGACAGAAAATGTGAGAAAAAGAGAAAGAGAGAAAGAGAGATAAAGAGAGAGAAAGAGTGTGTGAGAGAGAGAGAGAGAGAGAGAGAGAAAGAAACAGGTGTCCATGAGGGAAAATATATGGAGAGTAAATAAAAAAAAGACAGCGGAAGGTGTATAAAAGGAAGGAAAAGAGGGATGGAAGGAAATCAAGGGAGGGAAGAAATATAGAAATATAAAGAAAAGAATTTGGGAGGGAAAATAAAGATCAATCATATTTCATTGTATTAAGCTAAATCTAGACGTTTGTATTAAGATGAAATAAAGTTTTATAGAATCAACTAAGACTTAAAGAGAATATTCAAGAATAAAAATAAATGACAAGTGCAAAAACATCTTTGGTAGAACAAAATATGAGGCAACAAAATTGAACTCATAGTCTGTGTGCATCAACAGGCTGTCTCAAAATGTGCAGTACTTTTCAATTTTCAGATGTTTTCATTCTTTGTTTAAAAAAGTTGCCTATTCTACCCAACCCATCTAGTGGTTTATGAATAGTTCAGCATTACTTCATGTTCATTTAATAATACCACTCCATTTCCAGAATTTTAGATCAGTTTTCATGTTAATGATCCTCTTAATCTAGTCAATATGGTGCAAATTAGGAACATTTCAAACCCGTACCAAAGTACTGATAATAACCTGATACACCTTACCATAATAATATTATCCAATTGCCAAAGCCATTATGTAATAATATTGAAAGACAAAAGATAACTTTTTCATTGAAATGATACCTGAAGGGTAGTAAAGATCTGTTGATGTTGCTCTATTTCACTGGCTTGTTGCTTCTGGGCCTTGGAGACACTCTCCACAGCCTCAGGCAAGCTATCTGGCTGGTAGCAGTCATTGGCACCAGGAGGTTGAAAAGCATCCAGGCTATAATCCATGTCGTTAGATTACAGATCTGCAGGAAGAAAAGGGACAGTTGGTTCTTTTTAATTTCAATTTGTTCATTAGATGGAATAGTATCATCTCTCAGACTCAGAAGGGCGTCCACCCATGTAGGTGTACTTTAACACAGAGTAGATGTTAATGCCCTATTCACCTATGAACAGACAATATGATACATAACATGCGCTTGGATGGTTGCCATATCTTGTTAATGAATTTTGCACTATAAATATCAGAATATAATAACAATAAAGACATCATTTATAATGCAAGACATATGCACCTAGAGGGCGCTCAAGGCGCTTACTAATAAGTTACATATAAACCATACTTAGATACAATTATGCTTACATTAATTACATTATACATGGTGAAAAAGTTGATATTAATTAAAGTTGGCCATTATAATTTATATAAATTTTCAGACTGGCCTTAAAATTATCTACTGATTTAGAGTCCTTTAGTGTGTTTGGGAGACTGTTCAACAACGGGGAGCTGCTGAGGCAAATGCTCAATCTCCCCATTATTGTCTGGTTTTAAGGTTAGATCTAGGTCTATACTTCTGACCCAACACTGCAACAGTGTCATCAAGCAGGCCTTGCCTTGTCAAGAAAAGACAGGAAATCAAGGACTCAGGCTCTTAACCTTCATAGTTTTGCCTTTTGGAGCAAGGATAGATCTATAGTCAAAATTTGCAACAAGGAATCTGCAATTTGACTTCTAATAGTGATACTAAGTTAGGCCTCTAGATACAATTTATACAGCTACCCGGTCTATATAATGACTAGATCTAGTATAGGCCTAGACTAGTACTATAGTCTACAAACTCTTGAGTCTTAATACTCCATTGAAGGATAAAACTTATTAGAACATAGCCATAGCCATAGGGTCTAGTCTAGGGTCTAGATCTAGACTCTAGAAGAAATATTAAAATTTAAATAACTCCACATCTAACAAAGATTTCAAAAGCTTCCATGGCATGATTAGACAGAAATAATCATCAGGTATGGGGAATTATTTAATAAAACTGACATTTTTCACTTGTATAGAGACAGTCAGTGGAGCCAGACTTATTCTCAGCGGAACAGCCATCCATCGGTATAGGAACTAGTACCCGGCCCCGCCCCGCCGGCCAGGCTTCAGCGAAGCCGCGCCGTATTAGACTAAGACTAGAGTTAAGACTTCTTAACTCGATCATATTAATTATAAATAATTAAACTGTCTGACTCTGAAGAAATCTAGGCCTAGATCTACGTTAGATCTGAAACTAACTCTAGAAAGACCATTATTTTACAAATAAAATACTTCATACATTACCTGTAATATGCTCGATTGTAAACAGTGATGTTAATGACAGCAGTTACTTTCCGATGCCGATGGAATCAATTTTGTTTTCTTTCTTTACTAGACTATATTCTTCATGATTTTTGTTTTTTGGCGGATCATAAGTCACGTGACCAATCACCTGATATTTTTCGTTTGATTTCCGGATTCCAAGAATAACATGAAGAATATTGAAAATACTTTTCTCATCATGAGGGACGTCTTCATTAGCATGAAATAGAAAATATGATCCCGCTATCTTGCGGCTGTGAAGCTATACCGATAAATAGCCCGCAAATAGCTCGATATCTAGCTCGAGCTGGACGGGTCTAACGGGGTAGGGACATGACCCCCTTACCAATATCTGCTTTATTTATTGGTGCACGCTTCTGCCTCCCCTCCCCGGGCCCTTTTAAGCAGTGGGGTGGGGAGGGGTCACTTGAAACAGCTCTTGTATTTATAAATATTTTACAAAACAATCGTTGGCAGAGTACGATTGTTTTTGTTAGGCCCACAGCGTTGTGCTATGATTCATCTCTTTACCGTGAATCAAATTTAAAGTTAATTTCCGGATTTTCGATCTCTCCCTGGCCCTGAATTTCCGCAGAGGATATGTGTTCATGATTGTGTTCTTCCACATCCCCGGGAAAGTCCCTACTTATTCTAGAGTTACTATGCTCATTTCTTTTCAATCATGTTGTAGATCGATAGATACATCATTTTGAAGTATTCATTCTTTGTCTTAACAACTCTTGCTATGCAAACGACCTGTATATTGAAGTTTTGCTAACAACGCCGACCACGGATAGGCCTATATTGTTTGATCTATTCCGATCGTTTTGTTTATTTTACTTAGCTGTAATTACTCGTTTCGAGGAACTACTCTCGTCCCATCATCTCTTTGATTCATATTCCAGGAGCCAAATATTAAAAGGGAATATTATAAATGGAAAAAATGACATCCCTTGTCTTTTTGGTAAGGGGGGGGGGGGTCAATTATTAAGAAGCGAAGTTCAATGACTAGTCTTCCATTTCTGGAGAAATCTGTATCATTATTATCTGGAAAATTCATTATAGACAGTCATTGCCCTCGTACAGGCCAATCAAAATTAATTCTCTTTTTATCTGAATATCCCTCTTCCCATTCCCGATTTCTCTCTTTCTGCTTACCAAGAGTGCATGTGATTTAGGTGAATGGTAACATATTCATTAAAAATCATGAGCTTATATTATGACCATAGAGCTTGTGGATCATGAAGAGTACATGTTGAGATGATGATGTTACCATTTCAAAGATGCCGCCCATCTTCACTTGATCCTGTTGTAATAATATTAAAATTATTTTCCTCCCTCTCCTCCCTCTTCTCCCTCTCCTCTTTTCTTTCCTTTTTTGTTCAAAGCCACTCTGTTGCTTTTATTTTCCCATTTTATATTCTTCTCTTCATGATTTGTTTAATTACGTAACTCTCAGTAAAGAATGATCGTATTCTCTTATTGTTATACAGAGCCCCCCCCCCCCCACCTCTCTCTCTCTCTCTCTCTCTCTCTCTCTCTGAAAATCTTACTTGGGCTCCACATAATTAATAATACCCAGCGGAAGATTTCATGTGCAATAGGTGTATTATATAGAATACGACACTTGATTCCTCTAAATATTGATTAATATCTACAATGCAATCATTCTTCCTCATCTGTCCTATTGTACTTTGATATGGGGACATTGTGCAAAAACTTTAATGAATCAAGTTTATGTTTTACAGAAAAGAGCACTACGTGCAATTACAAATTCTCACCCCAGAACCCCATCTGAACCGCTTTTTAGGAAATTAAATGTACTTACCATATTTCAAATACATGAATTGCAAGTTGGATCATTTATGTATATGTACAATAAGAATATGTTACCTTCTATTTTCGATAATATGTTCAAAATAACAAAGGATGTTCATCCTTATTACACAAGACATGCTAATGATTTATATATTCCATTGTTAAAATACCGTACTTCACGTAGATCAGTTAAATATTCCGGAGTAATTAGTTGGAATGCAATACCTACCCATATAAAAATGTGCCCATCTGTTGCCTCATTTAAACGTAAATACAAGAACTATTTAATGAAGGAATTCCTATCGTATGTTTAATTTAATTAGCCTGTACTCATTTGTTTATTTATTTACTACCCATTGTTTTGTTTTTTCTCTATACTTTGTATTATTATCTGAGGACACTGGAGCCCAGCCTTCGAAAGGCCAATGGCCTCTGCTGGCTCCTCCATATTCTTTGTATTATTTATATTTATATATTTGCTTATATGTATAATGTATTGTTAAATGTATTTTTATACGAGAAATGGAAATAAAATGAACTTGAACTTGAACTTGAACTTGAACTTGAACTCTTTCATTCCCCCCTCCCTCACCTCCCCGTCCCTCACAATCCATGTAGGCCTATTACGTATTCCACTACTTATTACCCTCCATCCAAACTCATCTTGTTCTCACCGCTAAGTATTAAGCGCTATATAAATCCAGATTTATGTGTTTATTATCTGAGTATTTATTTATATTTACTTATGTTCATTATTTACTATTATTACACTCCGGTATTATATTATTACCAAGAATCCCTTTATATCACTCATATTTCAACCGACTGTTTGAAGACGAAAAGTAATCATTCTTTCACTGGAAAACCATTAAATACTTTCTAATCATCTCTTTGTTCATAATGCAGGCCGGCGGAAGGGTAGGCCACTTGTGGAAAGTACAGGATAATGAAGCCCTGAATTAGGCAATTGGGAACACTCATAGATGGTGTTTAGGGTTGAACACTCTGGTCACTACAGAACATTGACATCGACGTCACATCTACAGATTGGCGAATCATGCAGTGGATGGCACCCCCGTATAGGGAGGATTCTTTCCCCAAAAAATATATGACAATCAAACTAACTAGCATACACACATACTCACAAATCCCAAAACAATGGGGGCGGTATCATACTTTTCCGGCGGGACATCTTCTATCCAAATTCTCTTGCGAGCAAGAAAAGAGTATAACCTTCTGTATCTTGTATATTGGGATATCAATCCCCCCCCCTCCCCCTTTCCCCCTCATCTCCTATTCCTGACAGTGGACTAATGGAATTCTCTGAAAGTCGAATTCTCTTAAAAAAGGTATTGTAAAGAAATATTCTCTCCCCTCTCTCTCTCTCTCTCTCTCTCTCTCTCCATCTCTCTCTTTCTCTTTCTCTCCCTTCAGTTTTCCATGCAGTCCCTTCCGCCTTCCTTCTCTTTTCTCCAGTGTCTCCCCTGTCTCTATTATACTCCCCTCTCCATATTTTTCCTACCACATCTTGTTTGCTCTTTATGTGTTGTAACCGACCTTATAATACAATCTCAGTTGCGTATAAGTTATGAAAAACGTCCTTCTTGGTTTTTATAGGATAATGTTCTGACAGAACAGCAATATAAGAATCATTAATATCGACGTGAAATCAATTTACGGCTAGGGGAATGTGTCTATTTTTGGCTGGTGTCCTCGACGATTGCAGTAAGAAAACTAGAAATGCAATCGTGTCGCAACGATGTGCGTGCAATGACGCCATGTTTCTACGTGTCAAAGGAAAGAGCTTCTCTCGGACTATCCAGAGCAATTTGTACGAAGTCTGTAGCTTCTGTAATATTGGAGATAGGTAGGGCGAAAGAAAGGCCTCAACAGTGACCTTGATGGGATGGTAGTGACTATGCCTACGAAGTTTGAAAGAAATTGGGATAGGGGAAAAAACCTAGAAAGGGCTTGCAAGCACTGCGTGCAAAAACCAATGGGATTTGGTGCATGTTCGTCATTGCAGTCAAGATCGTTCTGGGGGCCAAAAGCGTGAACCCGATATGCCCCATAGACAATTCGTGTAATGTATGGGCGGAAAACGTACAGGATCTGTATTATGACCGGAGTTAAATTGTTTTTTCTCTCTCTCTTTATGTCTCTTTATGGGCCGTATTTGGTATCATTAGAAAGAGGATTTCATGGTAGTTATTGTAAACAACTCTCTTTTTTTCTATGATAATCCTATCGAAACACGTGATATAAAATATATTTATAGGACAAAATGGCGTCTTAAATGGCCCCCTTGACCAATTTCAAAAATCCGGCCAAGAGGTGCCCTGCGTATTGCAAATCGGCATGTCACTGCAAATTTTCAAGGAAAAAAAAGGACGTTTAAGGGGCGAAAAGCAGTCTGAAAAAATGACGTCATAGCCGAAACGTGTTAGGTTCGGGCGGAAACTCGGCGGAATTCGTGTAGTGATCTTTGTTCAAATGCGATTTACTCACAATTTTCTGTGTGAACATATATAATACTTGGTATCATCCGAAAGGGCTCTTCATTGCGGTCAGTTTGACACCATTGTTAACTGCGCGCAATGTATTGCGCGCATTGAACGCGCTATTACGTAATCCATAGTAAATACATCATTTTTGGCGATAACTTTGCGCTGACATATTTGAATTTTACCAAACTTGGTAAACAGTTGTCATGTATATGGATACATATATCTGCCAAGTTTCATTGATGTAGGTATAAAGATCGCCATTTTAAAGCAAGTTGAAGTTATTTTGGAATTTTTCTCGAAAATGGCAAATTTGGAGGGCATTTTTCTCAAATTTGGTCAGTGTAAGGGTATATAATTTTGTATAAGGCTGGAAAGGGCATATCTTCAAGTATCTAAATCCAAAAAAGGGTACGGGTTTGCCAAGCCATTATGGAGATACGGCCACAGAAAGAAAGCCAATTCCCAGAACTTTAGAGGGCGCTAATTATGTTTTGCATAGTCATTGGAGCATGAAATTTGGCATGGCTATGTGCAATTATAAGATAAGGATAATGTGAGATTTAAACACAAAACGGAATTTATATGAGAAAGTTATGGCAGTTTTAGATTTTTAGGGGTCCATTTTTCAAGAATTTGAGAGATTTTTGACGGAGTCAGTTTCAGATTTGAATTTTGAGTACGAAGATGGCATTTTGAAGGTCAGGTCATACGTCGCAGATGAAAGAACATCTATTAGACTATCTAGAG